TGTTTTTAAGGTAAACGATGACATTCAGACTTGATGAGAATTTAAATTATATATAACACTAGTTTGTCCACGCGACACCGTCCGCATATATGACAAAGAAGCGTTAGTAGTGTGTTAAAACAATACATATATTAATCTATGTTCCAGTGTTTTCATTTTATATAACCTACATACGTATAACTTATCGTTTCCCGTTAATACTATGAGATAAGATGTATTAATGAAAAACTGTTAACTATACGTAATGATAGAGGCACATATAGTAAGCGTACTGAATAAATTTATATGATATATTTGTATTTGTATATTTGGGAATGTATTAATCAGTGATGTCTTATTAACATCACTGATTAATACATTCCCAAAGAGGATTGATGTCAGGCAGTCGGCCGGTCGTAAAAACAATTAGCCGAAACTATTCACAACATGTAAGGCTGACCCTGGCTAAAGCTGGGAAATTGCCAGGTAGAAGAAGAAGAAAGTCATATCATGGTTTTTCAAACAAGCAGTAATAATGAGAGTTTAATGAGTATTCATTTAAATGAAACTAATATTCTCGTATTACTTCGTGTATTTCATTATTTAAAACTACATAGTCCCGACGTTTCGTTACTTTGACACTGTGAACATTAATATGAGATGAAAATAATAAAAAAGGTACCAATAGTGTCTAGTACTAATTTAAATATTTATATAGGTATGAAGTATGAACACACAAATCACAGGCAAGATAATTTGCTTTAAATTAATAACTATATATATAATAAGTTTAACGTAAAAAAACACTTAAAAAATTATCGACAAATTAATTAAATATATTAAAAATAAAAAGTAATTACATTGTCAATATGTTCATTTGTTTTTTATAAGAATCATCTTATTGTTATATCTTTTAACTCGTCAAGGTTTTGGTTATCTTTTATTATCCTAAAGGTTCAACTGGTTACGCAACCCATCTGACTAACGCCGCCGGATATGACTTTCTCCATCTCGTAAGGTTACAAAACCGTATATTACGTTAGTTATAACATAGAAAGTATCAAATTATATTTATAATGATATGCCTTCATAGTTGTTAAATTGATAAAATGATCAATGAATTTTGTTAAAAGATTTATTATGGGAGAACTACTTTATTGTGTATGTGTGTGTGTTTTAAATCCTCGTAAAGAAAAATTCTCTTATATATTGTACATAAGTAATATTTCAAAGATTAAATATATAATTTCTTATGAAACAGTTTATAAAATGTTTAAACCCACAAAAAGATATAGTATTGAAGTAAAATTATATACATATATTTTTCTCAAAGTCATCTGAGATTTCGGCAAATGTTTAATACGTTAAGTACGAGTATGCCAAAATTAGACACACGTTTGAAAATCTCGTCTGTCCGGTCCCTAAAGCAACCGAAATAAAGAAATATGTATTCAATATACAAATAAATAAAAATTTATAGTTGTACTTAAATATCATTTCTTCATAACGTAGTAATTAATCAATATAATATTAAAGAAGTTTATTAAAAAGTCAAAATTGAATTGAATCTGAAATTTCGTAAACCAATTGTATTATTCAAAGACGTTTAAACTTACAGTTTTACGTAAATCATATTTAATTTTGGTGATAAACGAAAATCTAAGATTATATTGTATCTTCTTTTTCTATCTGGCAATTTCCCAGCTTTAGCCAGGGTCTGTCTTACATATTGTGAACAGTTTCGGCTAATTGTTTTTACGACCGGCCGCCTGCCTGACATCAACCCTCTTTGGTAATGCATTAATCAGTGATGTCTAAATATTCTTAGAAAGTACATATGACTCGGAAAAATCACATTGGTACTAGCCAGAATCGAACGCTAATTATAATGTATAATGAAAATATTGACTTTTTAATAGATAATTTATAATAGACAAATTCTATCTAAGATTGAATTAGTACTTGATAAAGTACTTTTACAAATATTATTTCTTTAATAAATTTCATTCACTTATTTGATAGTAATTTTTACAATATATTATTAGTAATTTAATGTTATTTTGTTTGTTAAATAATTATTTATACTTACATCCGATCTCGTCGAAGAATTTAGATTTCTGTGAACCAATCTTTTTGCTGCTATCTCCACTGTTCTGCACTTGTGGGTGTTTGATAGCTGTTTTGTATTTAATATTCTTAATATTTCCATCACTATCCATTATTGTTAAATCCTCGTATGAATCTACGTCTTTTTCTAATAAAGTTTTTAAAACATCACTGTTTTTATTTTCTTTAACTCCAACGAAATCTAATTTAAGATCGTTCACTGATTCTCTCGATGTTAAATCACTTAAATTTTCAGAGCTAACTATGTTAAATAAAAACATAATTATTATATATAATACACCCATATTATAACATATATATTATATATTTAACACTACACAAAATTTTAAACGAGTCTCCAATACAAAGTCTTAAGTATAACTAAATCTATATAATTGAGATTTTTAAGTCTTTTTTTTTTATTTTTATCGAAAGCGAAAGTACGGCCACGTTCGACACGAGTGGCGGCTTTGATCGAAAATTGTGTTCTTTTAACGAGTTTTGGAGAAATGTTCTTACATAAGTTTTGGTTGCTACCAGGATTTAATATGAAAGGATCCTTATATATACAGGGTGACTGGTGAATTACTATCTATATTTGAGGAAGTGATATTTGACGATCATATATGACGAAATAAAAATTAATATAACATAAATATTAATAAACTTCTAAGTAAAGTTAACCAAAAGTTATGTAATTAATTACGCATCGTGTGAACACCCTACAGATTAGGTATACACACACACACACACGCGTCGGCGGCGTGGTGTTGTATCAGCACGCCGCCGTACGCGTCCACACTTGGAACACTTGGAACGTGTCCACCCTTTATTTATTTATACGGAAATTTGGTCAAAAATTAAGTACCTATTTTTTTTACATAATTCAAATGAGAATCATGTACCGAGTATGCTCCTTAAATATTGATAGTAATTCACCAGTCACCCTGTATATATATAAGCTGCCTTTGAGTTCGTCCATAAGGTATCATGTTTATTTAATTATTCATTGAAAAATAACAAAATATAAGCATCATAATATATATTTTAAGTTATTCATTTTGATCATAAACTATCTATTAGAAAGACTTGTCAAAGTCGAACTTATTACTTACATATTAATTGGAATAGAAAAACAGACTAAAATTAAATAAAATATTAATTTTGTATTATTATCCTATCTATATGTATATGTATTTAGTATAAAGCGGTTATTTTTATTCTAAGACATATAATACTATACTATGCAAGACTATCTGACATATTTTCATCTCGTCTGCCCGTGATCATGGTTTCTATAAAGTAACCAAAACATTTGGAATATTACAAATTCCCTTAGTATAACCGAGAAAACACAGTTCAATTTTAGACTTATTTGTATTCATTAAGTTTGTCCTTTAGATTTAATCGCTGTATAATAATAAATAATAATAAATAACTCTAGTTGTAATATTTGAACAAAATCTTTTTTTACATTATTTTGGTATATAGATATTAAAAATATTTTAACAGTATATACGAAATATATTTCGAGTATAATTGATTAAACTTTAGCTAGTACAGATTTATCTCAACGCAATTGTTTTTTAATTATCATTATTCATTGCCTAGTATTTAATAGCGACACTAGCGCCATCTCTCGGGGTATACTTATATTAGATTCAATAAAACCAAAATAAACTAATAACAACACCATTTATTTGGTTATACAGGTTTTTACATTTAGCAACAGTAGAGATAATTTGGCTAATTACATTTTGATAAATAGTAAAATTAGCATCTAAATTCCTAAACATTTCAAAACACTAACATTCATACAAAGTCGGAACATTTTAAACGATTTAAATACATTGCTCTTGTTATATTGACATAAATATATTGAAAGCAAAATCACGCAATGTACAGACGTAAAGAAATATAATCATTTTCCTTAGAAATAATTCGTTGGTAACAGCGACATCTGTTGCTAATATTTGAAAACGTAAATTAACTTCGTATAATCACCAACAGATGGCGTTAGTAGTAAATAAAACAGCAGCATCTACTTATTTACAAGTTATTTCTTTATAATTTGACAGATAGTTTCATTCAAATCTTATGTATAAATAAATAAATCTATTCCACTACGCGACGCCTAAGGCTCCAAATACATCTTAGTCCGATAGATACTTACGTTAAAAATGGACTACCCTACATTTACTATTGTCATTGTCACAATGTAAATATTTACATAATTATTATATAGAAACAATATATATATGGATTTAATTAAAATATATAGAACAAATTATATCTATTCCTATATGTTTTCAAGATTTATTGCATTTATACACTTTATATATATAACTATTACATAAAATATATATAATTGGCAAAACGGGAGAATTTGTAAAGGAATTCTTAATTATATCATTTTAATACTAATAATAACAGTTGCTTACAGCTTTATATATTAAAAAAACAATTCTATAATAGTAAGGAAGCGACAGCTTTCAGCTAAATTACTTAGAGATACATTTCAAAAATGCCTTTTGATCTATATATAATATATTTAATATTCCATTGTCAATATAACAAGATGGTTTTTAACGTTTCAGTTATAACGAGAAGCAATATTACTAAACTACGATAAAATATTCACACACCAAACAGACATCTATTATATTATGATTAATATAATGGAAGACACGATTTATAAGCGAATTCTACAACTAGTAATATCCAATATATATAAAGAAAACTAAAATTAAATTAATATAAAAACTTCTTGGAACAAATCACTTACGACATTCATTTGACAAGTGACAAGTGTCAAGTGACAAGTGACATTTCAAAAACAATCCACAGATAACAAACACATGAATTTGACAGATAATAAATATATTTAACCACAGATAATTAATGAATATATTAATTTAGTCGACAATAATATCGTGTCCGAGGCGGTCCATTTCGCTGAGTAGGAAGTCCACATCTCTTTCAGTGACGGCAGCTGAGGAGATGATGTTTCTGAAGAAGTTTGGTCGACGGTCGTCTGGTTGATATCCGACCATAATAGTACCGGCTTGCATCATACGTCCCTTCAGCTTGGCGCATACCTTAATTATATATAGAAATTACTTATATATAACAAAATACAAATAGAATGCATGTTGTATAAATACAATCTTTGTAAATGAAATTAGTATTTTAGGATAATATTAGTATATTATTAATGTTAATCGGATAGCTACGCTTATTTAAGTATTTTTAAAAACTACATACTCTCGTAATCACGGTTGCTGCAAAGTAACCGTAAACCAAACGTCAGGAGTACGTAGTTAATATAAATGTACCTTGTAGGTATCCAATAAATGTTAGTTTCATTTAAATGAAGCTCGCAAAGTCTTAGATCTCATTACAATCTTTCTCTCTTATATTTCCCCATATCTCTTCGTCCTAATATTTATTGAATTACTTTGTTATAATCACATAATATTATTATTTATTCATCTAGTTACCTTTCCAAGTTACCTCGGCATAAACCCTCAATAGTGCTGTTCATTAATTTCTTACCTTCCCAAGTTTGTTCATCTAGTTACCTTTCCAAGTTACCTTGATACAAACACAATAGTACTGTCATTAATTTCTTACCTTCCCAAGTTTGATTTCCTTGTTCTTATCATGCACTTGTCCTCGGAGCTGGATGGGCAGGTACCAGAAGCTGACGTTCACCATCTCCGGCTCCAGGATGAGGTGGAACTTATCAGACTGTTCCTTGATACGACGCACCATGTACTCGGAGAGTTCCATTAAACGATCCATATGGCGCTCAAAGCCGGTTGTACCCTGGATTTGAAGAAAATTGCTTTGATGATCATATTTTATTAGTAAATATGGTCCAATTTGGGTAAAAAAAACTGCCAAGTAAAAATGTGATTGTTCCGAGTCATATGTACTTTCTAAGAGTATTTAGACATCACTGATGAAGGAAAACATCGTGAGGAAACCTGGACTTATAGTTTCAAATTGTAAGTTTAAATTTGACGATCCGTCTTGAGCAAAGCGTGGTGATTAATGCTCTAATCTTCTCCATGTGAGAAGAGGCCTTTGCTCAGTTGTTTGCACCAATATTATGATGTATGTAACGTCCACGCATGCAAATTATACCCTATTTCTTTCTTAATATAGTTCATAATAACAACGACTACATTTTCATCTTCCGTGTATTTGCTTGTGCAGATCCAAAGACTTGAATATTTACGAAACTCATTCTACGATATACATTTGTAAAATAATTTGTAAATAAAAATAAAGCGTTACATACCATTTAAAAAGGTATCAAATTCTCTTGCAAAATTCGCTTTTCATTTCATTACTGAATCATCATCAAAAAACTTAATATAAAGCCACAATTTCATATAATTCCCACCTTCCCACGCGACTGCAGCCACAGTTTGAATATTTCGTTGAGGCGTACCATTTAAAAAGGCACCAAATTCACTAGTACAATTTCCTTTTTTTTAGCCTATCAGAGCAAACTGCTGAGCAAGGCCTCTTTCTCACATGGAGAAGCTTTGAGCATTAATCACCACACTTGCTCAAGACGGGTTGGTAATTTCAAACATATATTATTTTTTTTCCTTAAAATTTCCTACTGCATCTACATAATGGTTAATAAGCTGAAATTAAAGCCACAAATTCATATAATCCCCACCTTTCCACGCCACTGAAGCCACAGTTTGAATATATCATTGTGGCGTCCACACTGGATGACCTTGTCTCCTGTGTCGTATCTGGGATCGTAAATCTTGTCGGTCATGAACAGATACTCAGCTGACATGGCGTTACAGCTGAGGAGTATACCCTGAAGAAGAATATTAGTTGGTTTAAAAACTTCTGTAGAGAAAAAATGTAGAAGAAAAACTAGCTATTGGAATAGGAATTTGATTAAGGAACAGCTTGTTTTAAGAGGAAGTTATTATAGAATTGAAATTGAGTTCTGTAAGTTACAAACAAGAATAATACTCATAAAAAGGCTCTATAACTCTAAATAAGAAATAAAAAGAAGTTGCTTCTAGAATCCGGTTGTAAATTACGTAAATTTATCTCTGTTACACTTAAGCTATCAAAACCAAAATCAATTAAGACTTTTTGGAGTTCAACATGAAAAATTTAGCTAAAATTGTCATAATAGGTTTACAAATTACAGATAATAAAATAAATAATCTTCCCACTCTCTTATTTACATAATTCTTATTAGGCACAACCCTACAATTTCCAAGTGCCATCGACAACCCTAATCCGCTTATACCCACAATTATACACAACATAAAGTTCGCATTACGCCATGAAAATGCCATCAAACACAGCCACTGCAGCTAATAGCTTGGAGCTATATACTAATTTCAAACCTATAACATTGTAATAAGGTCTATTTTTAATATTAAATATATCTGTATAATCAAAACTCAACCCTGTTTCATTCGACACAGGACACAGTTCAATGTTGGAGAAAATTAAATATTACGGTCATTCTGAAATAAACTTTATTGCGTGTAGGTAAAGTTGATTTTTAAGTGTATTCTAATACAAGAGGGCTCAATTGGCAACATATGTCAGGAAGTGTCGAAAGAAGAATTTAATTAAAGTTGGCGCGTGTCAACGTCAGATGTTGCTAGTGATGGGGTGGTGTTGCTGTTTTATCGATATATAAAAAAGTCGATTATTTTTCATTTAGTTTTCGATAAAAAAATTCTATAAAAATATTTTAGTATGCATTCTTCACGGCAGACCTTGGAATTTACATAAGTTTTAATGTTATTTTTCTTACTTTATTTATGCAACTTATTCCAAAACTTTGCATTTTCCTATAAATTTAAAGATTTATGTATCCTTCATCCAAATCTAAAACTAATACATAGTTTAATAGAAATATATATTATTAATTATATATATTTGTCGTTTTATCGATAGAATTTTCCATAAATTTCCATATAGCGTCAAGCCCTTCAGTATTTCCAAACTTTCAAAGGGGCGGGGCAATAAGATTTATTGTTTAGCATATTGGGATGACGTGAAAGCATGTTCTCATTCCCCCAAACCAAATACAACCTTCAAATCCACAAAATAAGGTTCAATTTCATTAAATTTTAACATTATTTTCATACAAGCGAAGTAATTTCAATTTAACGCGGTTGACTTAAAGTTTGATATTTAAATTCGACGTCATTTGAGGAATCAATATTTGCCAAATTCCTTCGTATTTCCATACAGTACTCAAGATAATTCGTCCAACAAATAAAAATATTGACTGAATAATACACGATTCCAGTGCGAATGAAGCTTTAGGATTTAACAAAAAATATTAAAAATAGTTTGACTAGGAATAAAACTATTATCTACTAATGTTTTTCATATTTCCAATGGTTAATTAATTCAAAATAACGACAATACTTAAAGTGACATATTTTAAAGATGGCGCGAATAAAACTGAATTTAATAATTTAAATGGTATAAAAATCTTTATTATTACTATATAAAAATCACTAAAAATTACATTTGTGCTTAATACATTTAAAGATTTTAGGTATTTAAACTACTTAAATTTTATTACAATGAAGCATAATACGAGATTTTAGTTAAAAAAAAAAGTATTTAAAAAAAATTTGAAAAAGTTTTCCAAAAATACTGTTCATTAACTACAACTTATAATTAAAAATTAATATACTTTCAAAAACAAACTCTCATAAAAGAAATCATATAAATATTATCTATAAAATATATTTTTTATTATACCAATATATTTATATTTTATATTTAAATAAAAACGATATTAAATATAAATCCATGTGTATCTCCACCTTTACTCAAAGGGTGTGGTGCCAACAGATAGGAAATGTCAACAAATTATCATGCAAATCAGAATGAGGGTCTAGTATCAACCGGAGCAGATGTTTGGAGAACCACTAATCTGAGATTTATATACTTATAATAATATACAGGCAGACCCTGGCTAAAGCTGGGAATTTGACAGGAAGAAAATTATAATATACATATATGTAAAGGAAAGTCGTGTTAGTTACACTATTTATAACTCAAGAACGACTGTACGGGTTGATGGAAATTGGTGGAGAGATAGATTAGAACATAGAAAGGACATAGGATATTAATTCTGTTCGATCGAAAAATAATAAAAAATACTTAGTAAATAATAAATTCCAATATCTGGTTATTTATGGCCTCTAAGACGGAATAGAGTTCACCCGTTCAGCTATACATATATTACTAATTCCGAAATTAACGGGGACGAAGTCGCTGGCAGAAAGTAGTATAATATATATAGTGATATCAAAGTTTTTTGAATACTACGACTTTTTTTATTATTTGATTGCATGTCTGAGACACTTTCATCTCGTCTTAGTGATCACGATAGCTTTATAGAACCGAAATGTCAGGATTATGTAAATTTAAAATAATAATTAGTTGAAAAACTGGTTTTATTTGAGTTAGAATGTCTTTTATTATTTTAAATATATTTAAAATCTTATATCTCGGAATCTAGTACTGAATAGAGACCTAACTAGATTAAAAGAAACAAAACCTCGCGTGTGTCGGGTCCATCGTTGTAGAGAGGAGCTTCAACAGTGACTGGGACTTGTGACCCAGGTGTAGGTTTAAAGGACACTATCTAACGTTAAACGCTCACCTCCACTGTCCAAGCTCCTCTCCCTACGAGTACCTAGCCTGATTTGAAAAGAACTTACCAGGGCTGCCTTCGACGTATATTAGAATGAATTGATATTAATTCCAGAATTCCAGAATTCCAGACAGGCCCAAGTGTTTTAGTAGGTTTATATGTAATAACTAATAATTTCTTATATTATGTACTTAATATAATTACCTCATATCTGAAGTGAACAGTTGAACACTGTAGTAGCGTTCCCATCAACTTGTGGGGATTCCATGTGACTGAGTGTGCTCTGAAATTAAAAGATTATATTAAAAATGCATATATACGGTCGAATAGAAAAACCTCTATTTGAAGTCGGTTAAAAAACTAGAAATAAATTTTATTACTTCAATGTTTATCACAAGATTAAGTGTAGACATAAAATTAACTAAAACTATCATGTATATAGAAAATAGATTATTTTTAATATAATTTTGCTGTTTTTATGTATTTTAATTAAAAACATTATTCTTATACCAAGTTTATGTATTACTAAGTTAACAGTTTTCCATTCATTAATCACACTATTATTTTAAAGTTATGGATAGAAAATGGGAGACGCTAATTATGAGGTAACCAACTTGTATTAAGCAAACAAACACACATCTAAATAGCATTATTTTAAATCGTATATATTCTCTTAATTTTGGAGGGTAGAAGGAAAAATATATTGAGTATTCATATTTGAACAGCGAATAGACATCATAGCTAAAAAAAAATAGGGATTGGTGATAAAAAAAGGAAAAATTTTGGGTTGTATGTATTTTTAATGCCACATTATAAAAAAAACGAAAACAAAATATTTTTCCGAAAAAAACAATTAAGGGTGAACAACCCTTATTACTTAGGAGTATGAAAAATAGATGTTGGCCGATTCTAAGACCTACTCAATATGCTCACAGAATTTCATTAAAATCGGTCCGGCCGTTTCGGAGGAGTTCTCTGTCTAACACCTTGACGCGAGAGTTTTATATATAAGATATATACGTTACAATATATTTTTAACAAACTTTTTCCAATTTTCTTACGTTAAATGTTGCATATTTCGTCTAACGCGTTAAAGTATTTGCGTAATGCACTTAATTTAAAATGTACATCGCTTTTATCGTGTATTGACTCAGTTGTGTACTCCCGCCCGCATCCCCGCTAATCTATACGCTGGGGATCGTTTTAAAATGGACACTATTACACCGTATATATATATATATATATATATATATATATATATATAGATATATATAAAATATTTAATTTATTTAAATATAGCTATCAATGAGAATATTTGTTTCATGAATTTTATAAAAAAGATTTATTGAATTGATTTTGATGACACTTATATAAATCAATAGATGATATTAAAGAAAATATTTAGGTATTAGTGTGTAAGGTATAAAAAATATTCCATATATTTTTATATTTTTGAGATTTTTTTCTTTAAATACGTAACACAAAAAACAATTATATATTATCAAAGATATATTTATATAAGGCAATAGATTGCGAATAAAAATTTTATAATAAAATCAGTAAATTGTAAATGTTAGTAAAAATAAAATATTGACACCGTCGTTTCTGTTCGGTGTGATATAATCCCAGCCCCAGTTGAATGTATGCAGGCGCTTTGTTTTTTACCCTCGGGACTTTTAATTGATTGTACTTACCCTCGGGGTGAAAAAGATGTAGAGGAATTCCACCCAATCTTTTATAGGATGAAGAGAACAACACTATTTTATAATCTTAATGCCTAATGGAATTTGCCTTAAGTAGTATCTAGGAAAGATTTCGCAAGTATTCATTTAAAATAAACTAATATTTACAGATCACTACGCGTTTTTTATTATAACCCTAAAAACAGCGCTTTTCTATTTCCCTTACAAACGGTTTTTTGACATTAGATTTGACAACTAACTAACTAATATGTCAATCATTCTGTCGCACTTCAAAACACGGATATTTAATGCTTACAGGTAAACTCCAAAAATATAAATAAAAAAACGTAATAGATATTTCTTGATTATAAGGCGATACGAAGTTCGACAGGTCTTCTATTATGAAAATATATTCTTAAAATTCTTGATTATAATCATTATTTATATATTACAAGCTATAAAAACAATAACATAATAAAGCTTTAGCTTGTTCCAAGCTGTCATAGCTATTCTAAGTGTCAGTTAGTATTGGAGCGTATTAATCTACAAGCATTAGGTGTTATCAATCATGACTAAATACTCCAGAAGTAGGGAGAAGTGTGGAGATGAAGGGAATAGGATGAACAGCCTCTGTAGCCACTGAACCGAGTGACAAGGATATAGGGTTGGCAGTCAGATAGAAATTATTTATTTATTAAGTGACAACCCTACATTTTTAATAGATAATAATAGTTTCATTTTATGGATTTTGATAAATTTGTATATATTAATTGTTATGCTTCCAAGGACATATTAAACTGTTGGTAAATAAAGTTATAGGCAATTTTGTCTTAAATATCAAAGGCATATTTATTTTAAACGAATACCCATTCTATAATTAAAAGCTTATATACGTAAATTATTTAAAGTGTTTACAAACTCTATTAATGTTTTTGATCTCGAAACACACACAACTTATTAAATGTTATAAATAAACAGTCTAGTGCCAACCCTATCTGGGATCAGCTGATGTGAATGTTCGTACGTCAGGGCGTACTGTCAGAACCTATCACAGTAAAATACTTCATCAATACTAACATAACTTATATATATTCATATTTATACTCTGCTTACTATATTTGGTCTTATTTATTCACCTATATATATATCACTAGCTTTACCTGCGACTATTTCAATTAAAACATCTTCAAGTAAAAGTAGCTTAAGTTAGTGTTGTAACATTATATATATTCCAGTTATCATCTCGATAAAATCGATAGTTCCAGGAACATATAGACAAACAAACAGGAACATATTTATCGTTAAATGTATATATGTATGTATGTATATAACTTACCTCTCAATACCAGTAAGTCGTGGGTGACGATATTTCTTAGAGAACAGCAAGCCACCTCCCCAGGCAGCCTGTTTGATATATATACATTTTAATGTACAAAATCAAAGTAAAAATCTGTTTTTAAGCTTACAAAACGCTATAAGTACGAAAAACATCATGACTTATGTCATAATTCTTAATGTTAAAATGTACACATTAACACTTATTGTAATTGGACTAAAATTTGTTTTATTTTGTCATGAATCCATAAACAAATTACAATATATTGGTACAAAAAAAATATTCCATCAATTCATGGAATATTTCCAAGATCTCCACTAATATTTTGTTTTTATTTTACTATTAAACTACTTATTTTCAATACGGTAACCGAGTTAATGTAAAGTGAAGAAAGATAATATATATATATATATATATATATATATATATATATATATGTATGTGTGTGTGTGTGTGTGTATACTCACATCAACATGCATCCACATATCATATTTCTCACAGATATCAGCTATTTCCATGAGCGGATCGAAAGCTCCCAGCACCGTTGTACCAGATGTAGCGTTCACGAAGAACGGCACCTATTATTAGTAATAAAATACATATATATAAAGAAAACACATTTAATTTGAACCGAACCTTTAAATTCCCGAAAACACCCGAAGTGACAAAGCGATGACGTTTGGTTTGTTAATTTTTACGAGGGAAAGTATTTTGTCGATATAATACTGGCTTTATAAGAAAAATATATTTTTTATGATTTTGATCAAATCCTAAATATATACACATGTATTTACATAGAATGTTTATTAAATATACTATTTGTATATAAATATATATCTTGTCATTTACAGTTTAAATAATCGAATAGTTAGCATTTGACTTACAAAAGTGTTGCGTCGTCAATAATATGTCAAACGAATGTCTAATATACTATTATATTGGAGTCAGCTTTGTTTAAAAACTGTTAAAACTTTAAAAATATTGTATTTTTTTATAATTTACTAAAATATTTTAGTAAATTATATTTTGAAAGCGGGTTCCAATTTAACAGTATATTAAACACATATTTGACATGTTACCGCTTTTGTACCTAAGTCTTATTCTTACTTTTTAATAAAAATTCCTTAATTATAAATCAGATAATATTATAAATATATTTTTATATAAATTATATATTACTCAACAACGACTGTAGGGATATGGTTGAAAATTGGCGGAGAGATAGATTAGAACAAGGAGACGGACATAGGATAATTAATTCTATTATCGAAAAAGTAAAAAAATCTTAATAAACTCCAATATTTGGTTATTATTTACCTCGAAAAAGAGTTCGCCCGGTCAGTTATACATATATTACTAATTACGAAATTAACGCGGGCGAAGTCGCGGTATAAAACTAGTGTTTTATAAATAATTACTCACATGTCCTCTTTCCTTATGGTATCTGACCAGACGCTCTAGTTCAGTCGGTATCATCCTGCCACGCTCATCACTGGGCACGCACACACAGTAGTCTGTGCCCAGACCGCACACAGATGCACAGGACTTCACTGAGTAATGGCACTGGGATAGGTGGTTTAAGATTATTCATTGTAGTCAAACTGATTCAAAAATTGGCTTAATTCAATTAATATTAATTGAAGATAATAAAATTATATAAAGAGACCAGATTTTTGATCTAATATTTAAGAAATAGTTATCAATTAAACTTTGTTATCAAGGGAAAATCATCTTTGATTACGATTAGCTTCAAATAAGTCCTTTGTTACAAAATAAACAAAGTTATATTGATTGAAAAGTTATCTTTGAATACGATTGATTGCAAATATGTCCTTTGTTAGAAAACAAAGTTGTACTGATTAAAACAAATGTGATCATACCTGGTCAGAAGTAAACATGACTAAGTGTCCAGGAATACTGGTCAGGCCCTTTTCCTTGTACTGCGGGAACTTGTGGTGACGAGCTGCCAGGAACGCGTATAAATTGGATACAGAGCCACCTGGTGGAACGACAAAATAAAAGTGAATTATCATTCTAGATACTTCTTCTACCTGGCAATTTCCCAGTTATAGCCAGGGTCTGCTTACATGTACGTAGTTTTGGCTATTTGTTTTTACCGACCGCCTGCCTGACATCAACCCTCTTCTACATACTAACTAATTAAAACTAAAAATATCTAGAGATTTGATGGATAATGAGATCTAAGATTTTCGCGAGTACACATTTAAATGAAACTAATATTTTCGGATTTTACTTCGCGTTTTATTTTAGAAACTACATACTCCCGACGTTTCGGCTACTTTTCAGCAACCGTGATCACGGGCAGACGAGATGTGCTGACGGCTGAAAAGTAGCCGAAACGTCGGGAGTATGTAGTTTCTAAAATAAAACGCGAAGTAAAATCCGAAAATATTAGTTTCATTTAAATTTGATGGATACTTTGACCAGTTTATATTTACCTGGTGCCAAGATAGAATCTCCAGTTTTCCAACCAATCATGGCCCTCATCTTCTCTAGAACCACATTTTCCATCAGAATGAATACTGGAGCGATCTCATACGTGAACATGTTTGTATTAGCAGCAGCAGTCAGCCACTCTCCGGCTAAAGAAATGATGTCCAGGCCACAGGAGAGCTGGTTGAAGAAGTGGGGATGACCTGGGAAAAGATGAAACCTCTCATCATTCCATGTATTCACGGTGCGTGTGTCGGGTCCATCGTTGTAGTGAGAGGAGCTTCAACAGTGACTGGGACTTGTGACCCAGGTGTAGGTTTAATATATATAGAGAGACGAAACCTCTCATCATTCCATGTATTCACGGTGCGTGTGTCGGGTCCATCGTTGTAGAGAGGAGCTTCAACAGTGACTGGGACTTGTGACCCAGGTGTAGGTTTAATATGTATAGAGAGACGAAACCTCTCATCATTCCATGTATTCACGGTGCGTGTGTCGGGTCCATCGTTGTAGTGAGAGGAGCTTCAACAGTGACTGGGACTTGTGACCCAGGTGTAGGTTTAATATGTATAGAGAGACGAAACCTCTCATCATTCCATGTATTCACGGTGCGTGTGTCGGGTCCATCGTTGTAGTGAGAGGAGCTTCAACAGTGACTGGGACTTGTGACCCAGGTGTAGGTTTAATATGTATAGAGAGACGAAACCTCTCATCATTCCATGTATTCACGGTGCGTGTGTCGGGTCCATCGTTGTAGTGAGAGGAGCTTCAACAGTGACTGGGACTTGTGACCCAGGTGTAGGTTTAATATATATAGAGAGACGAAACCTCTCATCATTCCATGTATTCACGGTGCGTGTGTCGGGTCCATCGTTGTAGTGAGAGGAGCTTCAACAGTGACTGGGACTTGTGACCCAGGTGTAGGTTTAATATATATAGAGAGACGAAACCTCTCATCATTCCATGTATTCACGGTGCGTGTGTCGGGTCCATCGTTGTAGTGAGAGGAGCTTCAACAGTGACTGGGACTTGTGACCCAGGTGTAGGTTTAATATATATAGAGAGACGAAACCTCTCATCATTCCATGTATTCACGGTGCGTGTGTCGGGTCCATCGTTGTAGTGAGAGGAGCTTCAACAGTGACTGGGACTTGTGACCCAGGTGTAGGTTTAATATATATAGAGAGACGAAACCTCTCATCATTCCATGTATTCACGGTGCGTGTGTCGGGTCCATCGTTGTAGTGAGAGGAGCTTCAGTGACAGGGACTTGTGACCCAGGTGTAGGTTTAAGGGTCCCCTATCTAACGCGTTAAACGCTCACCTCCACCGTCCAAGCTCCACTCTCTACCTAACATAATTTGAAAAGAACCTACTATATGTCATGAAAATAACAAAATTGGAGGAGGAATATTTGTTTTGGAAATATGAACCATGACACTTGTTATTAATGTCACACTACCCAACTATTTTAGCAGTAATTTTAATGTTAAAGTTTTGAGTTAAAAAGGTGATATACAACTATATTTAATTAAAATATTTCACCATTTAATGTAAAATAACATTATAAATAATAAGCCATATTAATTCATATTATTTATTAAAAACATTTAAGCTATAAACCTTACTGGTTTTATTAGGTGAATTTCTAGGCACTAACTTCAAAGAATAGAAAGTCTTACCGTTACTTTTTAGTAATCCTTTTAATATTAAAATAAACACGAAAATAAGTATCGCAAAAAACGTGAAAATCATCCAAAGATATTTAATCATGTGCATTCCTATTTTTCCCCTCAAATTCAATAAATGCCCTTCAAAATAACAGAACACAATTGAAACATAACAGTTGACCGGGTCCGGATGTAATAGCTCGCTTGACTTCACCGTCTGATACCCGGTCATAATACAAGGATACCCGGGGATACCACATCCGGGTACATTCTATATCCGGGTTTTATAATAACAAATCGTGTTTGACCATGACTCGTTTAAACGATAATAATGGCTTTGATAGCATAATATGAGCTCAAAGCAAAATTTATATCAAATTAGGTTTCAGCCCCCGGATTCGCCCGCGTGGAGTTCGGTTATATCGCGTTTCCAAGAGAAATTATCGAAATTTTGGGATAAAAACTATCCTATATTCCTTCTCAAGGTCAACTCTATGTCTGTACTAAATTTCATTAAAATCAGTTCAGTGATTTAGGCTTGAAAGCGTAACAGACAGACAGAGTTACTTTCGCATTAATAATATTATTAGGGATTATTTCTTTAAGTATAAAAGTGGACTGTATGTTAGGAAAAAGTCAAAAATCTATTAAAACTACTACTATAGTTGTAAAATTTATAGTATGAACAATATTTCATTTTCAAACAGTCAGATAAAATTTTGACACGTGTTGTACACATTTTGAACATCCTGTATAAACCCCACACCTTCTTGATTATATGAGTATACAGTTAAGATAAGCTTAATATATAATAATAAAGCAGTGAAGTTAAATACATTCAACTAAAACGCATAATTTAAAATGAATCGACAACAAATTTTTCGCCAAATTTCGTCAATTTGGATGCCTGCATTTTCTAGCATGTCATTCGTAAAGGCTTGGTATTTTTACACAAGGATTTGATACACAACTTCTAAATCTAATAATTTATAATACACGTAAAAAGATTACCACTATATTTGAAATCAATTTTAATGTAAATTGAATTTAGCATAATTTTATAATATTTGCAAATAATAATACGACCATATATTTTAAAAAGAAAATTATTTTTAACTTAAAATCAAGATCTCAATATATTACAGTTAATATAATATCGACCTTATTACAATCACATAAAGCCTACCTCATAACTGCATAGGGATGCCAGCATAAAAAATATTAATTCAAAGGAATTTGATATAATCCCCTAAGTAAAACCAGATGGGGTAGCTATTAATTTGGGCAGGGTAAGTCAGGTGGTGTAATTCAGAATTAATTCACATTTTAGAGGGCAGCACTGAAGGGTGGGGTTGAATGATTGTTTATTTGGTATAACAGACTTGATTGGGGTATGAAGGAATTTTTATTACTGTTATATTAATTCTTAAATAAACACTATTCATACACACACACACACACACACACACACACGCACAGACACACACATACACACATGTAAATGTATATATTTATATGTGTGTATGTGTGTGTCAATTTAATTCGCATGTACGTCAACAATATTTCCCACCAGTATTACATTTTTTTTTTATCGAAGCACAAGTCCAAAGTTGAAAGTCCCAATTGTTTTCGTTATCTGTATTTTGAAGTGTTATTTATGAACCATCCAAAGAGGCTTAAGGCTGTCCATTATTTGGATAACATGTTGGAGACACAATCTGGCCCACCCTCGCTCCCAGCACTTATCTGTCCCCACGGACCAGATAAAGAGCTGCCAAAAATGTTATGACGTCATAAATAATAGAAAAAAATATGTTCTTTAACCGCCTATCTGATGATTTTTTATTACTTGCCAGTCTTTTTTTATATAAAATAATAATTAATTAATATGTGTGTGTTCAAGGGAATCTGGGAATGGTTTAGATTCACAATTTTGTCCGCTGGACAATGTTTTTATAATTAATTTTTATTTATTAGTAGTTGTTGATACAAACGTTTTTTTTTTGACATTAGATTTGACAACTAACTAATACGTCAATCATTCTGTCGCACTTCAAAACACGGAGATTTATGGCTTACAGGTAAACTCGAAAAATATAAATAAAAAAACGTTACAGATATTTCTTGATTATAGGGCGATACGAAGTTCGCCGGGTCTTCTAGTATACATATATTACTTTATATATAATTACTATATTAAATTGAATAGTATGAAAATGTATGTAGTTTTTTTAAACAAAATTCTAAATACGCTTACATTAATGACCAGTTACTAAAATTTAGAATAACAAATAAAACCTCTTTGGTTATTAATATTATGAAACAAATCTTACATCAGTTTCTCATCTTTGGGGTCGGTTATAATTTGGCGGCACGTGCCGCCAGCCCGCCAATCAAACAGCATTGTGCTGCTCATAATAATGCAGCATTGTCATTTCGCTGCATGTTTTTGGATCGAATTACAAAACCAAAGATATATTTAATTACAGATTTATAACACTTTGAAATCATAGATAATAATAATATGGCGGCTGTAAAACATTCAAAATTTTCGTTGTTTTTTTTTTTTTGTACATTATTTTGTTATTAGTTTTTCATTATATGTATTGTAGTTTAACTTTGTCTGGATTTAAATTGTTGGATATTAAATATACGTAAATTTAGATTAGTATAAAATAAAATTTTAATGTAAGATGCATAAAACGGAAAGTATATATGAAAAAATATTATACCTCTTACTAATATTATAAATGCGAAAATAACTCTGTCTGTCTATCTGTCTGTTGCGCTTTCACGCCTAAACCACTGAAGTGATTTTAATGAAATTTGGTACAGAGATAGCGTTGACCTTGATAAAGAACATAGGATAGTTTTTATCCCCGACTTTCGAAAGGTTCTCTTGGAAACGCGATATAACCGAACTCCACGCGGGCGAAACTGAGGGTGGAAAGCTAGTTTTATAATATATGTAAAAAAATTAAGATCTCCATACAACTATATATTGATTAATACTTTTATATTCTCCCTTTTGATATAACATCATATATTTGTCTCTTTAAACAGTATTCAATCAAATGAAAACCAAAACAGACCATTAATAGACACGTACGAATTCTATTGCCTGCTAATGACACCATTCACGACGAAAGGGGATATTTGGATACATATACAGTGAATAAAATATTAATTTATATATATAAAAGTATATTTTTAATTCTAATACTTATGTTAATTATAAATAATGCTTATAATTTCGTGATAGATTTTTTTTTGTATTTTTTTATCTATATCTTCATTCGTATTGGAATCGTGTAATATTTTGTTAATGTCAATGTTTTTATTTGTTGAACGAATTATAATGTTAAGTATACTGTGTGGAGACACGAAGGAGCTTGTAAAATGGAATAAAGATATTTATTTCATTATTATTTACAAGAAAAGGTTTTGTGTTTTAAACTGTATTTAATAATCATGTTTTGACAGATGTCATGATTATTTTTAATTAAGTCAAGATAAAAAGCTTCAGTATAATATATGTATTTACACTCATTTTTATATCACCATTATAAAAAAAAAATAACAACTTAGAGTTGCCGTAAGAAAAATCCAATGTATTTAATACCTATACTACAATAATTCAAAAACAAAGTCAATTAAAAAACAATTCAAACGAAGAAAATTATGACTAATCCCTACTAATATTATAAATGCGAAAGTAACTCTGTCTGTCTGTCTGTCTGTCTGTCTGCTACGCTTTCACGCCTAAACCACTGAACTGATTTTAATGAAATTCGGTACAGAGATAGAGTTGACCTTGAGAAAGAACATAGGATAGTTTTTATCCCAGACTTTTGAAAGGTTCTCTTGGAAACGCGATATAACCGAACTCCATGCGGCGAAGCTGCGGGCGGAAAGCTAGTATACTATAAAAATCATTTTTAAGCATTATCTGCCTTAAATTAGCATTTCTATATAAAAAGTATGAATATAAAATTTTGATACAATATCTTCAGATTTACGACCATAGACAAGTGGACCTTTATCTATAGATAACAAAAGAATGTTATCACAAAAGGACTATAAAATGAATCTATAACCAAAAATCCCATCTCTTGAAGGATAATCCATCAGTGTAATACGATTCTATAGCTTCTTTGTAGGGTCGAGTATGGTGACCATGATTGTAATTTAAAATGGACATAACAAAAATATAAGATTATAATAATAAATAGCCATAGTGTAATCATCAGCCTATCAGAGCCCACTGCTGAGCAAAGGCCTCTTCACATGGAGAAGGTTTGAGCATTAATCACCACGCTTGCTCAAGACGGGTTGGTGATTTCAAACTTATAATTTGATATTATAACTCCAGGTTTCCTCATTATGTTTTCCTTCATCTGTCAGTGGTGTCTAAATACTCTAAGAGAGTACATATGACTCGGAAAAATCACATTGGTACTTGCCAGGATCGAACCCGCGCCCTCATTCATGAGAGGCGATAGTATTGTGATATAATTATTTGTCCGTGTTCATCTATTATCATGGTTACCCTAATGCGGTGCTATAATCCTATGGTTTCAGTGCTCTACATCATCTGGAGAGTCCTGGATTAGCTTTATTGTTTTTATTTAATGGCTAGAATAAATAACGGCTTGGCTTGGCTTGGCTTGGCTTACAGGAGTTTGGATGAAGTGGCGTTAAAATAATTTGAAAAAAAAGCCAAGCTAATAAATAGTTGGTTGCCAAAGGGCTAACTGATTAGTGATTATTCTCATCTCGTCTTAATGATCACGGTTTCAAAGTTACCGAAACGTGGGGAGTATGTAGTTTAAAATAATAAAACCACACGTAGTAATACGAGAATATTAGTTTCGTTTAAATGAATACTCGCGAAAGTCTTAGATACATATCATTAAGTGATGTTTTATATTGTATAAATGTCAATTTTACATGATTTTTTAAATATTTCAAACACACAATATATATTAATAATGTACTGAAACATGTTTTGTTTTCACTGGTCAAATGTGAATGTTAATACAGAAATGTCTTCACGTATTAAAAAGGAATTATAAAGAAAAATAGTCATAGAAATAGCTACGAACTCGTAGACGTATCATTAAGCGAAGAAAAATTAATTTTCCTTTGATTCAACAAGAAAAAGTCACTTATCTATAGTCATTATAATGATTTTAAAATCCGAGACTCTCAAAGATGTTTTCAAAATACAAGATTGTGTTTATTATCTACGTACATATATATGTAAAATAAGAAATCGATAACATTTGTATAAGAACTAAAGAAACAAATTCATGACTTATTTGAACCTTAGTTCTTTTGACGTAGTTTTTTTACAATAATAATTTTACTACCAAACTAATTTCTTAATATTTTCCATACTTTCTTTTCAGTTCAATAAAAACTTTTTACATCACCAAATAAACTGGCAGCTAAAATAATGTAGAAAAAACAAATAACTCAAATTCCACAGATAATAAAAACTAACATAGAATCCAAAACAGCCGATGTATACATTCTTTACGTCTGTCATCTGTCAGTTGTATAGTCCCCCCATTGTGAATCACGCGCCCAGCTGAGCGTGCACTAATCGCTGCAGGCCGGTGATTTTCCATCTCAAAGAACGTTTGAGAGAAATTAAAATGTCCCGTCTCTATTGTCGATGTGTTTTCATTTCTTATTTTTTTAATATTTCAAGATATTTCATATATAATCTGTATTAAGAAGTCGTGACAATTATGCTCTAGTTATTAAACAGACAAATGAATTAATTATTACTTTTTATTTAAATACTTTTATTATCTGTTTGTTTTATTTTTAATCTGTATCAAATGATCGTGTATAGTCTATACTCTATGGTTATGTCAAAGGGTCCCCAAACAATTCAATCAAGTGTCGTAATGGCGCGGAATGATTGTTACTATTACTTACACTTGATGTAAACCAAGTTAATAATTGCCGGGGCGATTCCGTGGCTTTGTGCAACAAACTAAACGGGAAAATCTTACAATATATATATATATATATATATATATATATATATATATATATTACTTGTATTTTTTTAAATAACAACGGCCATTTTTATTACCATAGACAAGCTAAATCCTTTTTATGATTCACAAAAACACTTATGAACGTCAAAATATGATGTGGAATAAAATAAATTGAATTAAGGCTTGGTTTAAAAGTAACTAAACAAGTAATTCAATTCGAGACTACAAAAGCCGTATTTTCCAAGTTTCCAAAAAGTACTAATTAATCCTTTGTGGATAAAGCAAGTAAAGATTACAAAAAGAAATAAAGCAAAATCCATCTCTATAGAACATTTGAAATTAACACTAACACTTTTAATTTAATACTTTACTTATTATTAATTTAAGTATTAAAGAACATTTTTGTCATATTATTGATATAGGTTTTCAAGCTCACTATAAAGAAAATCCATTATTTTGAATAACTCAACTGTGAAGAGAATTATTTCAAGAAAATATTTTCTTAACAAACTTATGAACTAAGATGACTAAGAATTGTTGTAAGCTTTTCTCAACCAATATTTTCCTTTAAAACTCAGCGTATCTTATGGCAAATGTGTAAATTTAGGATATGTCTCACGTATTATGGTTTAGAACCAATTTATATACTCATATATATCTATATATATAAAAGAAAGTCGTGTTAGTGACTTCACTTATAACTCAAGAACGGCTGAACCGATTTCGCTGAAAATTGGCGGGGAGGTAGTTTAGAGCCAGGAAATTGCAATAGGATACTTTTTATCCCGTTCAACAGCATTCCCGTGGGACTTGACATGAAACGTCAGTCACTATAAAACGTGGAATAACGAAATACAATTGACAGCTATGCAATTGACGTATAATGACAGATATGTAATTTAGTATTTGTGGGATAAATTTAGAAAATCATTGTTTTTCACGTGGGCAGTTACAGTTTGTGTGTGCTGGGAAACCATCCGCTTTATTTGTGTTAACGTTAGACCAAAAACAAAAAAATGTGGTTTACAAAGGAGCACTTCAATGAAACGGATAATTATACTTTGGATACTTTGGATTCACTTTTATTTACTTAGAGAAGTTCAACTAAATAACACTTCATTTTTGTAATCGAAATGAATTCATTACTGTTGTGAAATGAAATAAAAATTTTCCTTTTCAAATATAAAACAAAAAAAAAATTCTTCATCTTTTAATCACCGAACGAAATGTTATATAAAAGCCTTCTGGTGGCGAAACGGAGTTCGACAGGTTTACTAGTTAATATATAAAACAAAAGTCGTGCTAGTTACACTATTTATAACTCAAGAACGACTGTATTGGTTTGAAGAATTGGTGGAGAGATAGTTTAGAATATAGAAAGGACATAGGATACTTTTCATCCGATTGAAAAATAAATAAGTTGATCAAATCCAAAATCTTCTTATCTATTGTCTTTAAGGAGGAATAGAGTTCGCTCGGTCATTTATAGGTTTAGGTTTAAAAAAGTTTATTTCCAAAAAGAACAAAGTTTGTTTACAAAGGAAATTTTAAAAATTATAACTACAATTAAGATTACAAATAATAAACAGTAGTGATATTAAACAAGATCAGTGAAATCATCTAATATATGGGTTCTTAATCGTTTTTTAAATATATTTAGAGATTTTGAATTGACAACACTTAGAGGCAAAGAGTTATACAGCTTTGCTCCTTCAATTGAAATAGTTTAAATGCCATTCTTGGTTCAAGTTTTAGGTGTTTCTAGTTTATATCTGTTCCTTGTGTGGTAAGAATGGGTTTTGGTTTTAAATGTAATTTGAGAATGAGTAAGGTTTGTTAATATTTTTTTAATACATAATTTATATTTAAACATTTGTTTAATAGATAAAATTTTACTTGTTTTATATAAATCTTTAGTAGGCGTATAACAATCCATATGAAATATGACCTTCATAAGTTTATTTTGAGAAATCTGCAATTTTTTTATATGTGTTTTAGCCGCGTTGCCCCATATTTCTATAAGATATTCTAATACTGGTTTTACTAAAGTATTGTAAATAATGTTTCGTACTCTTTTATATATATCTAATTCTGAAACTAACGCAGACGAAGTCGCGGGCAAAAGCTAGTATTTAATATTACGTTAGTGTATACAAGTGCTATCACTTACCCGTTTTGACCTGGTGTTTCAAAGTGACCTTGCAGTCTTCCAGAAGTTGCTTCAACGGCAGAGGTTCATCAGGGAGATGCAGGTCCAATACTTTTTGCATCTCCTCAGGCATCTTGAACTCCAAGATCTAAATATTATAATGAAATAAAATATAAATATATATCTCCAAATAGTAGCAAAAACATTTTGTAATTCTCAAATTTTTTGAAAATCTTATCCAAAACCAAATATGGCTTTAGTTTTAGCAAAGAAATCTTTGCTAACTTTTAATATGTAGCAATGATAATGGTGTTATATTTAACTAACCAAATATATTTTTGGTTGGTTGGGAATTGAACCCTGGAACGCCATACGAAGCCCTATCAACTATCCCAAATAACAGAAATCTATTCTACCGGTGACGTTTTAAACCTGCAAGGCTAACAGCAGTTATTACAAAAAAAGCAAGCAAAAAGCTATGTTTTGCTATTTATATTAATATAATCATTCCTTAAAGTACTTGGAATGTTCTGAATATTTCAATTATAGTCAATTATTGTGTATTGATTATTATCCCGGCCATACACTTACGATCTACCGGAGAGGTTATCTGTGCCTGTGCAAGTCAACCTAACAATGGCTATTCAAAAAACTTCACAGGTTTATTCACACACATTCCAGTCTAACTTTATCTTAGTACTTTTTCATTCTTATTAGCTTTTATTTAGTACATTACCTTTTCATTCCTATCATTGACTTTCTGTATGAAGTCTAGTAGCACGTCTACAACCCTGGCGAGGAATTCACGAGTTTGTGGGCTGGCATCTTCTCTGTATGGCAGGATCGCTGGAGAAGAAATCAGTAATTAGCTTTTACTTAAGGCTCTTTTTACATGTTTTTTATATATAAAATAATTTCCCTTAATAGTATTTTAATAAGGAGCAACAGTGTATTCAAAGACTATCATTTATTTTCAGTACTTTTACAAACAGAGTAACGAGTAATTAGCTTTTATTTAAGGCTCCTTCCACATGTTTTTTCTATATATTATTATTTTCCTTAAAGTATTTTTATATGGATCGACAGTGTGTTTAAAGACTAACATTTATTTTCATCACTTTTCAGTTTTCACTATTATCTGCCAAAAATTCAAATACAGTAATGAATCTAAGAAACTAGAGGTTTTTGATAAATTTAACAGATATGACTTCGAAGTTATAAGACCTTACAAGATAATGTTAGCAAGAAAAATGGTTACCCTTTCTTTTAAAAATACATAGTAACCATTAAAATAACATTTCATTTTTGGATATCTAAAACAATATAGGCAAAAATACATTATTTTAAGCTAAAAAATTATTACAATTTAACGATAGGTTTACAAAAAAAAAGTCAGTTGATATACCTCCCTAAACAGTCCAAAGAATTCATCTCACAAATAAAGTTTTTATTAGGAATAATCAAGAGTTTGTTCATCTATTGTATGTATGTATGTATGTATGTATGTATGTATGTTTTTCATACAATGCAAACTTAACCCTCGCACGTTGTACTCTGATTAAAACTGCCAGTCTGTTGCGCCCCTACGAAGGAGTTTATTAATATTTTGATATATACGAAAACATAATAATATATTAGGATATTATAAAAAGAAATCAAATTATTTTTAAATGTATGATATTTTTTATTATTGTTTGTTTTTGAATACTAAATATTTATTTATAAGGCAAAGACATCGTTATTCTAAGTATGAGGAAATCATAAAGTTATATATTTTTTAATATTAATGGCAATTTAAGCCTTAAAAAAACAATTTTATCGACACTAAGTAAACTATGTGAAACGTGTATCAGATTAGTTATGAAATTTATACCTTATCAGCCTTTTATTAAGGTTCAAATTCAAACAGATAATTTTAATTCAAGTTTTAAAGTTAACGCTCAGTCTAAGACTTCTTTAATGTAAAATTAATATCTTTTAAAAATATCTTGGTCATTATTTCAATATGTCAAGATGATTGAATAATGTTACTAATATTAAAACAATTTTGAGCTTAAATTTTGCTTTATTATTTGAAAATTTACCTTAAAATACGAATAACAGGAACAATTGGAGATTCAAAAAATTTTAGAGTTGAACAATATTTTATTACGTATTTTCTATTTGAATTCTATTTCGTTCAATTAGATATTTAGGTATAAAATATCATCATCATCAGCCTATCATAGCTCACTGCTGAGCTGCCTCTTCACATGGAGAAGGTTTGAGCATTAATCACCACGCTTGCTCAAGACTGATTGGTGATTTTAAACTTATAATTTGATTATAAGTCCATGTTTCCTCACGATGTTTTCCTTCACTGTCAGTGGTGTCTAAACAATATATCTTATACCTAATTTATATCAAATTCGCTGATAAATCGCTACATAATATGAATCAATTAGTTACCCTCCGGGTATAAATACCAATGGCTTGGACAAGTTGATCCCGGCCTCTCGCGGTAATGATCCGGGTTTACTTAAATCCCTTATTTGTGAGCTCTAGGGTGGATACAGTGAAAAGAGATGTGATTAAAAGGAGATATAAACACCAAAATTACGTAAAAATATATATATATATATATATATATATATATATATATATATATATATATATATATATATATATATATATATATTTTGTTTTTCTTTGATAATTATCCGCCTTTTTGTTTTTAGTTTCATAACTGTCATCTATAATTTGAGTTATATTTTCTAGCATATGTCATTCTTTACTTGAGTTTTACTATTCTACTAGCTTTCCGCCCGCAGCTTCGCCCGCGTGGAGTTCGGTTATATCGAGTTTCCAAGAGAACCTTTCAAAAGTCTGGGATAAAAACTATCCTATGTTCTTTCTCAAGGTCAACTCTATATCTGTACCAAATTTCCTTAAAATCAGTTCAGTGGTTTAGGCGTGAAAGCGTAACAGACAGACAGACAGAGTTACTTTAGCGTTTATAATATTAGTAAGGATATATATAAAAAGACGTGTCAGATCTCGTAAATACATAGTTATTAAGATGAGCTGGAACGAGCATATACATAGTTATTTTAACCTTAACTAGACTCATTCTTATGTACTTTCAAATTTTAATCTAAATAAAGCGAAAAAAAGACTTAAAGTTACCCCCAAATTATTATCAATATTTGAGTATTAAAAAGATGAACGCTTTAATATATATAGACAAGAAAACCATCATCCATCCCTCGGAATCTGGGAGTAGATAAAATAGAATCTATATCCACTTAAGCCATGTGAGCCTCACCATCAATTCTTGGAGGATTTTTATGGTGTGGGGTCGACTTGATCACCCATCACGAGGATTGGGTTCTAGAAATGGTTTTTTATACTCATCCTTTAAATTATACACAGTACATTCGTATTTACGAATTTATAAAGTTAAAATCAGGTTATTTTATTAATTACGAATGCTACATGAAAATAACTTGATCATTAAATTATGATTAAACCTCATTAGTATTCATGATTATTGTTAAAAGTAAAACGAAATCAAAGATTGTTTAAAGGAGAATAGAACTATGTTTGAATGTTGGTATAAATATGACGTCTGGACGCACGACGGCAGAGTTCAGTAAGTGTGGACCATTGAAGAATGTGATTATGAAGAACCTTCGAGAAATAAGTACATTAAGAACAATTGAAGTTTCATTTTGAAATATCATGGAACGTACTGAAAGAAGTGATATTAGTTACGTCAGCGAGGCTGGCGTCTCTCCTTAAAAACAACGAATTGTGTAATAAATCCGATATATACAAACTAACTTCAATGATTGTGATTTTATAATAATAATATTTTTGCAATATTTTAATCGAAATAAAACATTAATTTTATTTGTAAACATACATACTAAAGAATTTCTTTTGATAATATTTGAGCGGGGAATATTTCAACTATCACGATGAGGAATGCAATCTAAATTCCTCTACGGAGTTAGGGGCTCCCTTCGTCATTTATGTCGATGAAAAACATAAATGAAAATAATTATTTATATATAAAATAAAATTAAAATGTTTATATTAAATGAAAATAATGTTTTTTGGACTAGCAGAGGAGATGTGCCCATGATCACGGTTGCTATATTTATGCTAATTCTATATCATAAAATTACTGATATTTTTGTATAATGGACTATGGAGATAGATATAGCCGAAACTTCGAGAGTATACAGTAGTTTTAAAAAAATAAATTACGCGTACATATGTAGTACAATCCGAAAAATATTAGTTTTATTTAAATGAAGACATTAATAAGTATATATTAAAATGCTATATATAATTGAATATTGTTGTCTCTCAATACTTTTTTGCGTCTTATTTCTTATAGATATATTCCTAAAAAAATGTATGAAATTAAATATTTAATATGTAAAATATAAATAAAAAATACATACAAATAATGTCGAAATTATTATTGAAACTATGTGAACATTTCAGAAGCATGTAGCACTAAGTGCGTAAGCCATTTTGAGAGAAAGCTCTTAAAATGTACAACTCAAGAGCAATCGGATTATGACAGCCCAACACAACTGAAATCTATCACTATATAAAACCTTCATAGGACCTTATTACCAATACATTAAGTCTAAATTACAATGAACAAAAATATATAATATTCTTCATTGGAAACTCAACTTTATTGCTTAAAAGTAAGGTTGAAATTAGTTATGTATTATATGAGATGTGAGTAACATCTGGAATGTGATGTAACGTTTGGCAAATAAATCTCTTTGAACGAGGGTAGTCTAAATATTTGCAATCAAATATAATGTTTATTGAAAATGAACTCTATTGTAATATTAATACGGTTTATTTTAGTATGTAGCTTTATGTTGAGTATAAATCCGGTCGAAGCGTCTTTTTGCTACATTTTGTTAAACATATATTTCTATCTACTTATACGTAAAAACGATTTCAATTAAATTAAATAGCAAAATTTTCTTATAATAATTCTTTTAATACAAATTGCTTTAAGAATAAAGGACTTTTTTCAGTTATAAAACCAAACCTAAAAATAGTTTTAATTATAAAACCTTTTTGCTTTTATTTTAGAATTTATTGCATTTAATAAAAAAATCAAGATTTGCTTTACACGAAATAAATAAATATATATATACCTATTACAAATATAAATATAAAACCAAAAATATTGTATACAATTTGATATTACTACATATCTTCTTGGACCCTTAAACGCGGGTGCAAGTGACAGTTAAGTGGAAGTACATATTAATCCGGGTCAAATAATAGGGTCCGGAATTTAACTAGAAAATGTAGAACTATGTTTTGAGAAGATAACTTTTTGCTATCTATATATACGAAAAAAACTATTTAGTTTGCACTGAAAAATAAATTTCACCTTTTTAGAAAAATTAATTTGATTTTATTTTTGTAATAAAACTACATACTCCAGACCTTTCGGTAATTTTTCAGCAACCGTGATCATAAAAATAAGATGTGAATGTCTGTCAATTCGTCTTGGTATTTTATCACCTACCGCCATCGATTTCTTAATTTTCTGGCGTACCGTTTTTTATCAAAAAGTCGCGTAGTATATCCGCAAAATATTAGTTACATTTAAATGAATTGAACTCGCGAAAATCTTTGGTTTTAGAATATAATTTTATTTATTAATTGTTTATTTTAAATAAATATTCAGTCTCTTTAGAAAGTAATGTATATTATGTATATAGTTTTAAAAATATATACCTATTGTATCGTTTAATACATATATATATATATATAGAAAAAAATCTAAATAATAGAACATAGATTCTCAATTAGAGTTTCAGATTAGCGATTCACACTTAACAGAGTTTGCAGGCCGCTCGACACACAAGGGGTTACCCAACCCCTGTTTAAGCATTTAGGGTTAAATAAATTAGTAGAAAGAAGTAAAGATTATAATATATCATTAAAAAGCTATAATAAATATATTTATTATTAGTCATTCTTTAAATTAAACCCTAAATTATTACTAACTAGAAGACCTGGCGAACTTCGTATCGCCCTATAATCAAGAAATATCTATTACGTTTCTTTATTTATATTTTTGGAGTTTACCTATTAAAGCCATAAATCTCCGTGTTTTGAAGTACGACAGAATGATTGACATATTAGTTAGTTGTCAAATCTATTGTAAAATAAAACGTTTGTATGGGAAATAGGAAAGGGCTGGTTTTAGGGTTTTCCCGGCAATTTTTCCAATTTTTCTCACCTTTTAAACCTTCCCTGGACTTCCAGGAGCATTTCAAGACTAAAATTAGCCAAATCCGTTCAGCTGTTCTCGAGTTTTAGCGAGACTAAGGAACAGCAATCCATTTTTATATATATAGAAGATATAGATTATGGAAAAATTACATACCTTTCTTGTGATAATCTGCTTGCAATGTAGATACGCGGAATTATCCAACGCTAGTTACGCGGATTTGCACTATCCCAAAATATCATATATATATATATATATATATATATGTATATATAATGATGAATATAAAGTGTGAAGTGTTGTAAGCTAATGTTCTCTAACCAGAGCGTAACAAGTGACGCCGCGGGCGGAGATTAATCACCGCGTTTTAAAACGTCAACAACATAATTAATGATATTCAGAAATATGTTAAATTTGCATCAAAATAAAAAAGAAATAAATTCGTAAATTAAATATCGGGATATATAAATTATCGCGATATACTTTTTCTCTTATCATTGTTAAACTAGGAAAATCAATAAATAGGTTTAGCATATTGTGATAATTCTTCTACCTGGTAATTTCCCACCTGTAGCCAGAGTCTGCCTTACATTTTGTGTATAGTTTTGTCTATTAGTTTTTACGACCGGTCGCCTGCCTGACATCAATCCTCTTTTGGGAATCAACATTAATCAGTGATGTCTAAATAGTCTTAGAAAGTACATATGACTCGGAAAAATCACATTGGTACTTGCCCGGGCCAGGATCGAACCCGCGCCCTCGGCAACTAGAGGCGGGCCTTTTAACCACTAGGCCACCACTGACTCTAAATTATGATTATTAATATATAACACTAGTTTTCAACCACGACTTCGTCTGTGTGAACATCGGAAATAGACTGAGAGTTGGGCTTTTTTATACAATATTTTATAGCTACTTGTACTGTTTTTGTCGTGACGTCACACAGGAATGATGAACAGGATAAGTGTCGTATGTATGTATGTCAGTTTCCTGGTTCTAAACTACCTCCTTACCAAATCTCAGCCAAACCGTTACAGCTGTTCTTGAGTTATAAATAATTTAATTAACAGGACTTTCTTTTATATATAGATCACAAAATGTTTGTTTAAAATAATGTTTCTCAACGCTTGTTAAATTTTATTCTCCTCAACTACAATAAATATATACAAAATAACGAAACTGTATCTACAAAATTTCTGTTACAATAAGTTCGTTAAGCTTTAATTTAATTTTAGAAGCGACTTTTTAATGTATTATTTTCGAATATCCTGGTCTTCAAAGACGCGACAAATTACATTTCTTACATGGCCATAATCCACACGATAGATCTTTAGATAAATCTCGAGATGACGTCACAATTGTGACATATAAAATATTATAGAAGAGTCAATTGATTAGATTTTATAATAAACTGTATTAGGCTATAATTATTACTTCCGGAAAATACAAAAGTCCCATCGTATGCCAAAAATCAGTTAAATTACTAAGTCTGTGTTTTCATCCTCATAGAAATTGTAAATCTTCAAGGCAAGATTGAATAATTTACTCGGATAGTGTGTCTTTAATCTATTTTCCATATCTCATCAAATTTATATTAAATTGAAACACTATTGAGTTCATAATTTAAGAAAGGTTTTTGACAAACAGTCAAATCTAAAGCGTATGTCGTAAAATATGTATAATGGAAATACAATATGTACATACATATGTATGTATGTCTTTGTATTAAATATTTTATAATAAAATATACGCAACATGCTTTTTGATCAGTCTTCGTAATAGATAATGCTGATCAATATTTTCTTTGCCTTAGCTAATAGGAAAGCGCTCTTTAAAGCTGAAAGCTTACAAGACGTTTTCTATCATAGTGGAATATATTCAAGACCATTCAGAATGGTAAAAACGAGTCAAGAGTAATTACTAAGAATACTAGACTTATTGTAATTAGTTGAAATATATATACAGGGTGACTGGTGAATTACTATCGATACTTGAGGACGTGATATTTGACGATCATATATGACAAAATAAAAATTAATATAACATAAATATTAATAAACTTCTAAGTAAAGTTAACCAAAAGTTATGTAATTAATTACGCATCGTGTGAACACCCTACAGATTAGGTATACATCCACACTCACACATACGCGTGCGGCGGCGTGGTATTGTATCAGCACACCGCCGCACGCGTCCACACTTGGAACACTTGGAAGTGTCCACACTTTATTTATTTATACGGAAATTTTGTCAAAAATTAAGTACCTATTTTTTTTTATATAATTCGAATAAGAATCATGTACCGAGTATTCTCCTTAAATATTGATAGTAATTCACCAGTCACCCTGTATATACCACTCTTGCTAGCTCTTGCCTGCAGCTTTGCTCGCGTAAATATTTCGTAAATTAATATTCAGTATTAATAGTAGTTATATTATTCTTAATAAATTAATGATTGAAAAACTTATAACGGATATATTTCATATTCAGGTACCATTGTGATTTTTCCGGGCATATGTACTTTCTAAGAATATTTAGACATCACTGACAGACAGTGAAGGAAAACATAATGAGGAAACCTGGATTAATAATTTCTAATTATAAGTTTGTAATCACCAACCCGTCTTGAGCAAGCGTGGTGATTAATGCTCAAACCTTCTCCATGTGAGAAGAGGCTCAGCAGTGGGCTCTGATAGGCTGATGATGATGATTTAATATCCATACTAGATTTATCTCATTTCCTTAGATATTTGCGTACTTGTGAATGAAATCCTATATATATTCGATAATGTTGTATCCGGTACAATGATATACACATACATACATACATGTCATAGTTTATCATAACTTCCTGAGGAGACGGAAACTGAACCCATAAGGAGGGTAGATTAATATTTGATTTTAATCTACCCTGGCAATCTATACTGGCAACATTTGACCATTTTTTATCAACTACATTTTTTTATATATAACCTCTTTAATTCCTTTAAAAAAATCTTCTTCCATTAAATTAAAATATTTATAAAGGATATACAAATATTTGAACCTGCGCCTTCCGAAATATCAAGTACTACACGCTTGCTATTTGAACTATAGTGTAAATTTTATATCCATACATTTTGAACGTCTTAGCGTAATTTACGTATTAATGCTTTTACTTAAAAGTAATTTTTTTAATATGTATATTCTTATTTTAATTTAATATATCGTGTAGTGAAAAAAGGTGTATGAAAATTATTTTAACTTAATATTGGTCTACATAATTGGATTTAACTGACTAGTATCAGTTATTTCAGACAAAATATATTTTGCTTAAATAATTGCAATTCGCAATTGTATCCAGAAAAAGTCAATGCGTAGAGACAGATATTTAAGTAGGATTATAAAGATGACGATCATGTTCTAGCTGTAGACTACTGATGATGATAAGGATTGTAGGTGGTTAAATTATTAAGAGACTGTTAAGTATACTCACAATCGTAGTAGAGGTTGCCGACACCAGACGTCAATTTGGGAGTACTCTGTCCCGACAAGGAAGCCATTCTTTCGCCCTATTGACAAAAAATAAAACAATTAAATAAAATATCAAATTATTCTATATTAAACCTAAGCAAAACCATCAAAAGGACAGCTACCAAACAAAGAAATATTAAAAATAACGTGTTACCAAAAAAAATGTATAAGTTTCAGGAGATTTAAGTTATAGGAGAAAGGGAGATTTCAATATATTTCAAATCTGTTTCGTCTCGCAACTTAAGCAACAAAATCTTAGATAATCTGGAACAAAAAGATTTTACGGACCATAAATGTAACCTTTGTTAATATAAGGCAAAAGCTATCAGGCTTTGAGGATTCTTAATATTGCTCAGAAGAAAAACATGCAAAAGTAACAAGACACAAGATGGCGGCATTCGGATACTCAATGGAAGCTACAGAAAATGGCGGCTAAATGAACGAACCAACTGGATGTGTTCAGCTATTTGCTTGCAGTAGGAAAAAAAGCCGTCCAAAGTCAGCTTTGACATGCTAACTTCTATTTACAGTCTGGAAAAAGAGAAAGAACTTCGTTAATTCCTTTGGCAGATATCTTTTTTCCAGTCTTTTCTTGAATTAAATCGAACGGCCCCCAAATACTTTATGATTTATCGATCGGGCTACACCTACATTGAGTTCTGCGCATGCTGTTGCGCATGCGCAAGAAAATCTATAATCAAAGGTCGAAAGTAATAATGGTGTTGAAAATTAATCAAAAAATGATTGAAACGAAACCAAAAGAAAGAAGATTCTACGTTTACCGCCATTTATATATACGCACCTTGACAGATAAGAATTGCGTTCAGGAATCACTATTTGTATGAGATATTTTTCGTCGAGAAACGTATGACGACGTGACAGATTGGATGCTTGGTGGGATTTGAGTTCGGATTTAGTCTCATATATGTAAGGAGGTTTTATATCAGTATTGAAATACCAACCGGATGGAAGTTGGAATTGTACTGAAGGCTTTGAGGCTTTGGATCCTAGGTTGTGAAACGCGCAGGCGCTCTGAAAAGGTCATAGGGGATGGCTTAGGTTGTGGGGGTGACCAATGGAATCAGGTCGATCGATACCGACATTTTGTAGATAAGATATTCAATTAGATATAGATGAAATTTACAGATATTATATATAATGCATTTAATTTTATTCTGCTACTGAAGAACCTAAAAATATTAATAACATGGAACATATTACGATAAAAGAAAAAGATTTTAAGCACTGAATTGTATACTATTTTTACCTTTATTACATTTGTTATTACAATTAGGCTTAAAAATTCTTAAAGCCATCTTAATTTATTTTAGGATTCTCGATATATACATTTTTTCTACAAATAGTAGCTTAAATATTAAATAATATTGCTTAAAATAAGTAAATTTTTGCTATAATAATACTCTAAAGAAAATTTAATTTAGTGATTTTTGACAAAAATCATAATATTTTCGTCATTAAATTTAACATTTTAACTCAAAATCGATACATTTTATATCTCCCTCTTATTTTAATTCTCATGATTATTGTACTGTAATATAAAAAATGACTGCCAAGTAAAGTTACATTTCAATAGCATTCTAAAGCTTAGAATACTAAAGATTTTAGCAAATATGAAGGCAGCTAATTCTTTGTTGGAATATAGCATTCTTTAAAGTATTGATATAACAATGGTTACTCAGAAATAGCATGACCTATTTTAAAACAAAAATGGAAAAAAAATACAGTTTTTAAAGAGGTCGTATTAAATGTCAAACGCCAACGCATCCAACGCCCACGGACTGCGGTAATTTTAAATGTCAAAGTCATTAAATACAGATTATAAATAAATAGTTATTACATTTGTAATATTATGAAAATCTGTCATATTAGCTAAAAAATAGAAGGACTTATATGAAAGTTAAGATATATATGGTGTGATATATTCTTTTATATATTTATAACTCGTTTCATCTTTATTAACAATAAAATATTAAACATAACTGAATATAATTAACAAAGGATATGCCATATGTTGGCACAGATTAAATAAAACATAATAATATGTTACTTTATTTATCTGTTAACCAAATATTTATATTATTCTTCTATAGCTACATTAAAAAACATGATAAAATAATTTTTGTTCGTTTATTCTGAAACAAATTACTTAGTTTTCATATAAAAAACATATAAATATGTATATTCGATATTAATAATTAATATTTTTTATACTTTAATTAATTATTTAACTATTATAAATAATATTTAAACAAAACAACTAGCCATGTCTTTCCATTAAGTGCAAGCATTACCTAACATCGTTGCAATTCCAGCAACATAATGGGTACAGATATTATACCTACATACGTATACCTTTACTCTTACCTCCCTTACCCCTCCTCCCTTACCCCTCCTTTTACCCCTTACCCTCTTGGGCGTGGGCGGATGACGTCATAGCAAAGACACGCCCAAACATATAAACATAGATATATATTTAAAAGGGTAAAGTTTAAATATTGCATAATACATATATATGTTTCATTAGGAAAATTATAAAGATTCTAATGATTGGTAAAATAATGTTTAATGATTATAATGTTTTTAAATTTTAAAATATATTATTAGGTATTTTTTTATTTATTATTTTGAAGAAGATCGAAGAAAAAATTTAATAAATAGACCTCCGTATACTAGATGGTAAATTTCGTTAATTTGAAATCAAATTTTTCGGTATAAAATTATCGTAAAAGATACATTTTTCTCGACATAAATACTTATTAACGTCTTTCATGTATAAATAATAACTTAATTTTATGGTTACCGTACTATTTAATTTAATTTTTCATTGTCAAGAAGAAATACAAGAAAATATTTCATATTATTGCTAAATGTATGTTTTTTTGTACATATATATTATATGTGATCTAGCATCGATCACTATTATTTCTTATTATAAGTTTTAGTCGTAGTTTTAAATATATTATAACAAACCTTTTTTTAACTCCTTCCGTTAAAAAACGTTATTACATGTAAAGTAATGATTAACAAATAATCTTTTTGTAAATTTGTTTTTGGAAACTTATAGTTCATTTGTCTAAGAATCTATTATTAGAAATAATTGATTTTATAATGTTATCTGAGATTTTCGTTTGCACACATTTAAAATGAAACTATATTTGATAATACCGTTATATATTATTTTCCATAATTTTCCGCCATTTCAATTATTTGACAGCAACCTTAATCACGGTAAAAATTGAATTAAATAATAAATAATGCTTTAATTTGAAATAACTGTATATTAATCTTAAATGGACATACATATTTTACAAATGCAAGTAAATTAAAAACATAACATAATTTTCCAGAATATTCGCAAGGTCATTATTCGTAAGTGAATCTGATAAAGTTATCATGAAAACGAAAGCTCTGTCAATAGAGCCTTATCAGTAAAAGTACAGCCACAGAGTAATGAAAATAATATATACTAGCTGACCCGGCTTACGGTTTGTTATATTAAAAATAGGGTTTGAATAAATTTTTAATGTCACATTATAAAAAAAATAAAAATAACTTGTATAAAATTAAAAAAAATTAAGGGTGAACAACCCTTATCACTTAGGGGTATAAAAAGATAGTAGCAGATTCTCAGACCTACTCAATATGCATATAAAATTTGATGAAAATCGGTCAAGCCGTTTTGGAGGAGTACGGTAACTAATATTGTGACGTGGAAATTATATAAATTAGATATATAAATAGTATATGTACATTAAATTCTACATATAATACTTTAATATTTAACTAAATCAAAGCTTATGCCACATAATCCTTAAATTTGACCGAAAATCTCTTTTTTTGTTACATTTAAAATGATTATTACATAATATTACTGACATTTGCGAAAAAAACAAGATGGATGCCATTTTTACCAATTACTTGATAGACAATTCTTTAAAGAATATTTATTTATCCCTACTAATATTATAAATGCGAAAGTAACTCTGTCGTCTCTCTGTCTGTTACGCTTTCACGCCTAAACCACTCAACTGATTTTAATGAAATTTGGTACAGAGATAGAGTTGACCTTGAGAAAGAACATACTAGGATAGTTTTTATCTCAGACTTTTGAAAGGTTCTCTTGGAAACGCGATATAACCGAACACCACGCGGGTGAAGCTGCGGGCGGAAAGATAGTTTCATATGTTTATAAGTAATTATAAAAAAAACTAAGACAAATAAGTCATACTTTAGATTTATTTTTTAAGTTTTTCTTTGCTGAATTTTTCTCTTCATAGCTAAAGTGCAAGATCAAATGTGCTGTCTATAATTTGATTGCTTTTAATAAATCATAATCATAATCTTTATTAAATAATCGGTATATATATGTTGAAATAACCATACTTAACTTCTAGAATACTTCAATGTATTTCAGCACTTTTACCTATACTATCGTATTTATTCAAGAAATTACACTTCGAAACTATACGTAACAGAAACGTCAGATAAGAAGTAAAAAACGAATAAAAACAAGTTAAGTAAACGATAGATAACTGGTATTAAATATCAGGTACCAATCCTGGTAAGTACCAATGTGATTTTTCCGAGTCATATGTACTTTCTACGAGTATTTAGACATCACTGATTAATGCATTCCCAAAGAGGGTTGATGTCAGACAGGCGGGTCGTAAAAACAATTATCCAAAACTATTCACAACATGTAAGACAGACTTTACTACTATTTTTTAATAAGAAAAACTAGTACTAAATAATTTATGAATATATTTCTTTCTCTGTATATAAAGAGTCTATGTTTCAATAATCATTTTATCAAACATTCAATTTATAAAAATTATGTGTTGGTTACATCACTCGCTGTTTCGTGGTCTCTTGAACAAGTCGATGTAAGTATATTATATTTAATATATGTTTATTTTTCAATTACAATATAACTCCTAAACTTATTTGATATGAAATAAAAGATTTTTCTTGTATGTAAAGAAGTTTGGTAATAGAATTAACATAAAGAATTGCTGGATGTAAATTTTATTTATTAATTTCAATACACTGGTAGTTTGTAAGGACATAAATGTTTAAATTATTGGGTTTATAACAATATTTTTTCTTTTGTGTATACTTTAAACTCAATTAAAAAGAAGTAGTTTTATTTCGAAGTAGTTTTAATGAATAATATATATATATATATATATATGTATATATATTTTCGGAATAGACATTTAAATTTAAAAATAAACACGTGATATCCTATTTTATATTTTCATAAAATTTAGATGGCCATACCTATCCTTATCCTTTATTACGCACAGATGAAGTTTAATATTTTATTAAATCAATTAATTTCTAGATACCATTTCATTTAAATTCATTGTTCAACTATATAATACATATAATCACATATATTTTTAATCTCCTACATTCATTTATAAAGTATATATATAGAAGTTTCATTAAATTTTGTTCATCAATTTTATATTAATTTATTAAAAGGAAAGTTAGTATGTAAAATAAAAATGTATAAGCTATGTTGCAATACTTGCTTCCTTTGCAAGCTATAAATAAATTTGAGGATATATCTTATATATAAAATTCCCGTGTCGCGGTGTTAGACAGAGAACTCCTCCGAAACGGCTGGACCGATTTTGATGAAATTTTGTAAGCATATTGAGTAGGTCTGAGAATTGGCCAACATCTATTTTTAGTACTCCTAAATCATAAGCGTTGTTCACCCTAATTTTTTTCGAACGAGATTTTTTATAATGTAACATTAAAAAATACATTCAACCCAAAATTTTTACTATTCTATCACCAACCCCTATTTTTTTATATGGCAAAACAACGTGTACCGAGTCAGCTAGTATATATATAGATATTTAAACATCTTTGTAACATATAGTATACACCAATGAAATAAGAAAATTCAACTCTATTCTTCAAAATTAAGGTTTAAAATTGCATGATATATTCTTTAAGGCTTTCATGGATTGGTATGAGTGAGACAGGTATACATTAGAGAGAGATGGAAGTTTCAGTATTGATCGCCTCTCAGTACATAAGGCTGTATAAATACATATAGCTGGCTTTCAAAGAGCATATGAAGTATATGTATGGAAATAGTATTTATATGGAGTTTTATATATAATGAAATACATATATATGTTATTATTATGTAAATATACATATAATTATAGTATTTTAAAGTGTACTCTAGTTTCTTTTGCTAATATTAAGTAACTAATTAATGGGAAAGTATTTGTGACTATTATAACTCGAAATAGTATGGAGTCATTATATTTTACTTAAAATATATTTATAATGTTTTGTATATATTAAATTTATTATGACTAACATATATATTATATATATTTATAACATCAAGATTATATATTGTATTATAAAAGAATATATTTTAGAAGTACATAGAATTAATCTAAATGGAATTTATTTTATCATTCACTCTCAAAACATAGATTACTTATATATTTTCTATACATTTAATAGTATAATTAAAAGTTTTAATTAAAATAAAATTTCAATAAGATTTCCAAGTTTTTATAATTAATTTACTTATTGTATAATAATAAAGCTTTGAGGTTGTCCAAACTTCACGTAATTTCTTACAGAATCTTTCGACTATTTGTAATTAGGGAGTGGTTTTAACATAAGTACGAGATTGAATCGTAAACTCGCTACTGACAGTATTGTCGTTAATAGAATAAATATTTCGATAAAAATTATTATTGAAGAATTTTAATAGAATTAAACGATGTTCTATTACATCTTATAATAATTTTCTGACTTTTAAAATATTGAAATAATTTACATTCATAAATTAAATAATAATATAATTTTACTTGAATTTAAATTCAGTAAATACAGAAAAACATACGCCATTTTGTTCTTCATTTATATATATCAAAAAACTAAAGAAAATTTGTTATTTTTCAGTCAGCCATTGCGATTGTATTTCCAAGTTTTCCATTTCAGATGTGGACGAAAGCCTTCATCACAATTATAGGCGTTTACATGGTTTATACGACCAACCAATCGGAACTTGGTGACCAGAACCTACCAATCATGACGGATAGAGGGAGACAGGAAACACCGGAAGTGGTGCTCCAGTTGAAATACGAAGAAGGGGAATTGAATAAGATATATCTCACTCAGTTCAGGAAAGAACCGAAAACCCTCACACCGTCAGTGCCCGCTCAGAATTCGTTGTGTGCGGACCTGTGTTACGGAGGTCGGGATTTTTTCTTTTTTTTTCGTTAATTTTTTTGTTTTTTTCGTATGTGATGTGTTTGAAGGTAAGTATTATATATTGTCCTAGTTTTTTGGTGATATATATGTTAATTTTATGTTATATATAGGGTATTAAAGAAATTGAATTATGCTCTAAAAGTGATTCGTTTTTTTGTTAATTGTATATTAATTCTGTTTTGTATATGCCGTTAATATATTTCGGTTTTTAGTGAAAAGCAACTATCATTATATTACGTAATTATTTCATAATTTTATATAATCGTTAATATTTTTTATTTAATCTTTAGAAAAAAACTATATAATTATTTTTTATCACACAATCTTTGCTGATTGATATAATAAATTAGACGAACGTTTTTTTTGTCGCGATTTATGAATATATTAATCAAAACTTTCTAAAACGAATAATTTTCAAGTTTTTAATTTTTTTTCTATCTTTAGACGATAATTTTACATGGTATTTTACAGCCTATATTCCTAGTCAAAGTGAATTATTGATTTTTTTGGTGTGAACCAGGTTTGGGAGGTGAAGTATGTGGTTCCACCTGTGAGAAGATGGTTCCAGTTGGTCTCCAGACGGCTTTGAACAACAAGAATAGTACAGAAGATGAATATGGTCAGCCAAGAGTCGGAGTATGCCCCGTGCTGTGTAGAAACGGTTTAGGTAGGTTTGAAAATGAAGTGGTTTTTATGGTTTCAAATGAAATAGTTTTTGTGGTTTGAAAATGAAATGGTTTTGGATTGGTTCTAGTTGGATTTGAATTTCGTGATCTTAAGTAGATTTGGTCTGCCTTACTATTAAAAAATATTTTCATCTTATGTACTAAATTTATTTCACTTTTAGTCATGTAACAAAATAAAATGTTAATCTAGTTTTGTGAATCGATACTTTAGCTTCATTTTGTAGATTTTTTTATATTAAAGAAATAAGTATTCCGAAACAGTATGAGATACAAATATAATTTAAAAAAATGGGTTTTGAAGATACGCCTCATATATGTTCTTACGAATATATACATATCTCTTTTCTATACGTAATTTTAAGTATAATAACTCGATTTCAATTGAAATTACGAAGAAAGTCACAATATATTGTTAGTTATACATTATTAGAGGGTTTTCATTATAATGACAATAATTTTCTTCTAGGATCCCCTCTATGTCACTGTTCAAATCATTCTGTCACGCCAACAGATTGGAAAGCCGTGTGTAATGTGTTCTGTGATGTAGACAAATACGAACTAAGAGGTATGTATTGAAAATTATTTATTTATACTTAAAATTTAATAAAAAAAACTAAATCTTTTTTATAAGATATCTCTAATAAGTTTAATTCTTTATTCTCGTTATGATATTATCTTTACGAAAATATATGACGATATATTAATATTTAATTAATATATTTTAACAGCTTTTCCTTACAATTTTAAATAGAAATGTCTACATAAGTAAATAAATGTGCACAACATGGACTTTCACGCCTAAACCACTGAACTGATTTTAATGAAATTTGGTACAAAGATAGAGTTGACCTTGAGAAAGAACATAGGATAGTTTTTATCTCAGATTTTTGAATGGTTCTCTTGGAAACGCGATATAACAGAACTCCATGCGAGCGAAGCTGCGGTCGAAAAGCTAGTATATATATATATATATATATACGTATATAGGGGAGAGTCGGATATATCGTACCACTTTTCACTTTAACTCAAATATTTCGACTATAACACGTCTTATAATAATTTATTCATATGAAAAATAAAGTTTCATATTTTAGCTTCCTAAGAAGAAGAGAACAGATCCTTGCGATTATTCTAACATTGTTAAAAATGCTTTTTTATAGAGGCTTGCCATCGGTACGATTTAGCCAACTAGTCGTTTTAATCGTACCACTAAGTCTTTAAATCGTACTATGGGTGTTTAAGTCGTACCACTGAATGAAAGACATTAAAATTCTCAATAAAATTATTTATTTTTAACTGTTACGTAGGTAATAAAACAACATTATTTATATCTTTTAGGTAATAGAAACATAATTTTTAACTCTTAGGTTATATAAAGGAACTATAAGCTTTCTCAGTAAAATGACATGATTATACTATGACAATGAGATCAATCAACATAACTAATAAAAATGAGACAAAAAAAAACAGTAAACTATAATAATAAAGTAACAGTTAACAAGAATGTTATTTGTAATATAATTATTGTGCATATTTCTTAATGGAAACAATCATGACAAATGTCTGAATTCGAAGTACACGTCTCATGTAGCCACCGTTTACAGCGAACGCATTGAATCCAATCAACTTTTGGACCCTTCTTATCGTAGTAAGAACAATTGCACTTTCGATATATATTTTCAAGATAATCATCGCTGTTATCATCATCATCATCATCTAGTTCTACAACAAGTGTCTCTCTTGAATCATCGCTACTGGTGATGGAATGAGATCGTTTCCTCTTATAACTTTTGTTTTTGGCCTTGGGTAGTACCTACTTACTATACGTACTTGCGGTAGTACTATAGGTACTTGCGGTTGGTAGTCGGGTAAATCGTACCAGTACAATTTAACAAAATGCAAGTGGTACGATTAAACCAACTAAGGCATTTCTAAAACAAAAGCAAATATCCGGCATAAACTCAAAACTTAGACATGCAACAAAAACCCCCAATAATCTAGTATACAATTGTGGAATAATTAAAAAAAACTGTATAACTATAGCTTACCTTGATTACGAGTTATCTCCTTACGAATGTACGACAATATTTATATTGATTCCTACAAAAAATGTTTTTCTTTTATTACGTGTACAGTTGTTAACTCACGTCGATTTAAACTAGTGGGTGAAGAGGGATGGCCCAGGGCCACGATTTGGCGTTGTCAGTGTAGAAAAAAATATTCATTAAATGGGAAATTTAGAAGTGGTACGATTTAAATGCTAGTACGATATAACCAACTCTCCCCTATAAAGATATTTTTAAAGTATTCTACTGTCTTGTTGAAAAATAAACCTTATTAATAGCTATCTTAATTACTAAAGTTATAACCTTATAACTTGAGGGAGTCAATTTATTTTCTTTACTCGAAATAATGTTCTTTTAAATAAATGCATATATATAATATTTATTATGTGACATTACTATATTTATATATATGTAGATATCTATACTCTTTTTAATAGAGTCATATCGTCGGGGATAGTGCAAAACCGCGTAACTATCATTGTATAAGTCTGCGTATCTACATTTTAAGAAAATTATCAGAAGAAAGTTTAAGCTGAAATATTTACTAAATAAACGACTTTTAAAGTATATTTTCACAATTATTTATAAATTAAGCACTAAATAATTACTAATTGTGAAAAAATTATCTTAAAAACACTTAATATCAAGTGTATTATTAGAGATGCGTGCCAAAGCGGCCTCTCTTTTTTATTTATCTATATTTCTTAGTTAGAAATGTTTAAGGACTCAGGTATTATTTGTCTTTAATTTACTGTGTTATTGTTTATATTTTTTTTTACATTCCTGTGCTCTGTTTTTTTTCTCCAATAAACTAAAAATAATAATAAAAATAAAATAGAATATAGAAAATATTTCAGCTCAAACTTTTTTCTAATGCTAGAATCTAATGCTAGTTACGCGGATTTGCACTATCCCCGAGGATATGTATAAAATGTCTTTTCTGGGAATATTTTGTGACTTGTCAAATATAAAAGATTACACATTAAATTGTTGGGAATATTTTTAACTACACTCGCGTGACATGAGAATGGATTGGTAGACTTGTAGTCTCATCTGCTTACACATATCTTAATTATTTTATCAAGAATACATATACATATATAGAAAATTCAAATATCATTAATAATGAAATTTATATTTTTCGGATATACTACGCGACTATATTTTTGATAAAAACTATATACTACCGACGTTCACATCTCATCTGCCCCTGATAAAATGCTGTAAAGTAACTGAAACATCACTAGTATGTAGTTTTTATCAAAAATAAAGTCACGTAGTATATCCGAAAAATATTAGTTTCATTTAAATGGCTCAAAAATCTCAGATCTCATTATCATTAATAATATTTATATTTCAAATGTATTAAATAACATGGAACGGAATATAACTGTAATCAAATAATGTTCAAAAAACTTTATCAAATACTAACCAAATATAAAACCAAAAGTAAGTTATTCTTAGTAGTAATACTTAGTCCGAGTTCCCATCGTCACTACATACGCAGCGTTTATAGTTTTTTTATTTATAATCTTATCAAATAGTAGTAAGGTTATTGAATTACAAACGGGAAACTATACGTGTGTAGTGACGATACACTATTTAGTTCATATTAAAAAATAACTTGAAATAGAATTTCGCTTGATTTATAACATGGGATGAAAAAAAATCTAAAACAATGTACCAAATAGTTTCATATTTATAATATTATTGACCTATTGTAATATTTAACTTGAAATTCTTATAAAATATTAAGCTTTAAGTTATATAGTTTTTGGATAATCTTTAAGTATGCAGTTAATAAAATACTATAAGTATATTCCTTATAATTCAAAATTATTGTGAATATAAAATGAACTTAATTTATACATATGAGAGCTATTAAAATAAAAGCAAACAATAGAAACATTTTCTGTGGAAATAATGTGAAACTAATGGTAATTGAACTTTTTATATTTCATGAAATAATTATCTTGTTCTTTTCAATATTTTGTTTTCTTCCTGACAATTTCCCAGCTTTAGTCAGGAACTGGTTTACATGTTGTGAATAGTTTTGGCTAATTGTTTTTACGACCGGCCGCCTGCTTGACATCAACCCTCTTTTGGGAATGCATTAATCACCACGCTAGCTCAAGACGGGTTGGTGATTTCAAACTTATAATTGTGAAATAAGTCTAGGTTTTCTCACGATGTTTTCCTTCATCTATCAGTGATGTCTGAATACTCTTAGAATGTACATATGACTCGAAAAATTACATTGCTACTTGTCAGGATCGAACCCGCGCCCTCATGCATGAGAGGCGGGCCTTAATTCACTAGGGCACCACTGACTCAATTTTCAATATTTTGTGTTTAATTAGAATATTTTTAAAAGATTGATGAAGTTTTACATGAAGACATAATAATTTATAATAATTATACACATATGAATTTACGTTAAGAACAAAATAAGAAGTGGGAGCGAGGGGTATAACACCTAAATCTCTATACAACCTACTTAAAGACAGAGGCCTGTTAAGAACTAATATTAATTCTCTTTTGGAATATACTTCAAAGGCAGCCCTAGTAGGTACGTCTTAAATTTGGTAGAGAGAGGAGCTTGGACGGTGGTGAGCGTTTAACGCGTTAGATAGGGTCCCTTAAACCTACACCTGGGTCACAAGTCACAGTCACTGTTGAAGCTCCTCTCACTACAACGATGGACCCGACACACGCATATAAATACATGGAATGATGAGAGGTTTCGTCTCTATTAATGAATTCAACTAATACACGAATTGAATTCATTTATTTCAAATCAAAATTACGATTTTTTTATCGAAACAGCCAATTTTTGTCGCGAATCTGTTTTCTTATTACGTATAAAACTTTTTTCCTAACACAAATACGTATTAATAAGACGAAATTATCAACGAGTATTTACCCAAACGTTTATTTCATGGAAAATATTACTAATGTGTCTTCTAATTTATAACGTGAGCCTCAAAAAGTTTATAATAAAACTAGTTTTTGCCCGCGACTTCGTCCGCGTTAATTTCGTCATTAGTAATATAGGTATAGCTGATCGAGCAAACTCGCTTCCGTCTTCAATAACCCGGTATTGGTATTTATTAAATTTCTACTGTTTCAATCGAACAGAATGATTGACATATTAGTTAGTTGTCAAGTCTAATGTCAAAAAGTCGTTTGTATGGGAAATAGAAAAGGGCTATTTTTTTTTTATAGGGTTTTCCTGGCAATTATTCCAATTTTTCTCATCTTTTAAACCTTTCCTGGACTTCCAGGAGTATTTCAAGACTAAAATTAGCCAAATCGGTTCAGCCGTTCTCGAGTTTTAGCGAGACTAAGGAACAGCAATCCATTTTTATATATATAGAAGATAGATATGTCTATAAACATTTTTATTTTATATTTAAAGAAGAAATACATTATTATTATTATTTTTAATCAATAAAAGGTGTTTTAATTTTCGGTACTTATACATACTAAAAGTAAATTTACTGGTTTTAAATTATTGGTTATATAATATCGTCTCAACATTATTTAAACACATTGCTACTTAAGAAATAATATAAATTTGAGTTTTTCGGTAAAAATTAGATATTCTCTATATGGTTTCCGTTTTCAGGTCCTGAAATTGTAATTGGTGGTCCGATCTAAATTTTATTTATTAAGAACTACCCCAGATAACTTAAAAAACCTCTGGTTTATCGTACATAGTGTTGTCGAGATTATCTCTGTGGATGAAAGACATGAGTCGACTATATAGTGTTCACTTGCTTTACTCGCAGTAACAATGTACTAGCAGTTGAAAGACGTAATCATTTATACATAAAAAACTATATACAGGGTGACTGGTGAATTACTATCAATATTTAAGGAGCATACTCGGTACACGATTCTCATTCGAATTATGTAATAAAAATAGGTACTTAATTTTTGACCAAATTTCCGTATAAATAAATAAAGTGTGTACACGTTCAAAGTGTTCCAAGTGTGGACGCGTGCGGCGGCGTGCTGATACAACACTACGCCGCCGCCGCGTCTGTGTGAGTGTGTGTGTATACCTAATCTGTAGGGTGTTCATACGATGCGTAATTAATTACATAACTTTTGGTTAACTTTACTTAGAAGTTTATTAATATTTATGTTATATTAATTTTTATTTTGTCATATATGATCGTCAAATATCACGTCCTCAAATATCGATAGTAATTCACCAGTCACCCTGTATAAGACAAAACATTACATTATATTTATATTAAATCTTTAAAAAACACACTTTTTACTCGACAAAACAAAATATCCTGCGAATTTTAACATTCATACAAAATAGCTACAATATAATATATTTCCTTAAATTTTCCGTCTTTATTAGATTGTGAATACCATAAATCATTTATTAATATGAAAATATAATAAAATATATTTTTATTAACATTTGTTTCATTCATATGCTTTGTTTTCTTTATTATGAAATGACAAAGCAAAATATTATGTGGAATTAAAATGCTATGACTATATATATTTACAATTATTTACGTAACTAATCAAAATTTACACATTCTATTCTCTTCTTTGAAATGGAACTAAATTTTTCATTCAATTATTACACTTATAAATAAACATGACTGTATTCTTAAGAAAATACTCTAAATAAGTCCCAGACTACATTTTTACAGTAAAAAAACTAAATGGTTTCTTTAGAGACGTACAACTTTTACAAAACCTTCTAAATTAAGTACACTTCAAGCATGTTTTTCTAAATAAATATCGAATTAAAGCGAACAAAAGACTTAAAGACTTAAGCTTCGCCCGCGTGGATTTCGGTTATATCGCGTTTCCAAGAGAACGTTTCAAAAGTCTGGAATAAAAACTATCCCATATTCTTTCTCAAGGTCAACTCTATGTTTGTACAAAATTTCATAAAAATCAGTTCAGTGGTTTAGACGTGAAAGCGTAACAGACAGACAGAGTTACTTTCGCATTTATAATATTAGTAGGGATTAAACTACAAGAACTATTATTTAAATCAATTTTATGTATACAGGGTGTCCCAAATGCGAAAAGACCGATTCACAACGACGACTCCTAAATACTAGCATGATGACCCTAGACACGGCTCAAGGATGGAGATTCTGGTGTAACGTACAGTGCAGGCAAGGTCATGGTGGAGCTGCCTGCAACTGTGACAGAGGACCGTTCCAGTAGACCAGAAGACCAGAAGACCGAAAGACCGAAAAGACCGAGTAGACCAAGGGATGCGTTAATAATTTTATTGATTACATTTAATTTTTATTTAAATATTTTATGAGCACAGATTTTATATTTTCTTTATATAAGTGTATTAATTTCTTAGTTTGTTACATTCAATATAATAATAATTCATTGTTTTCTATAGATTTATAATTATTGTTATATTCCATTTGTATTTAAGTCTTTCGCATGAACAGATTTCGTTGACGTAGGTAAGTTAGAATAAGGGATGTACATATAAAAGAATACTGTGCAAATGACAATATTAAAATAGATTTGGAATTAATATTCCTATGTAATCTTAGGTAATTAAATTTATTTTCAATTTTATTTATTTTTTTTATTTTATTTTATTTTTATTTTATTTTACCTACCAGTCAATTAAGTCGGATCTAAATGATTGATCGGGACGAATTTATTTGACTCCCTAAATTTATTCAATTTTAACAATGGCGGTAGTATTTGTAGCGGGAAAAGTTTTTGAAAAAAAAAATAGTTCAGTGTCGGTCAGTAATGTAAATATTAATATGTAAATACGGTAAGTGTTTTTTAATTATTATTTATGATTTAATTCATTTGTTTTTTTTTCTTTTGATAGCTTATAAATATAGTCGAAAAATATTTGAAATCTTCTTGTATTCTATCCATAAGTAATTTAAGAGAAAAAATCTATTTAATTACAAAAACTGATATAAAAACGAAAAAAAATAATAGTTTCATAAAAAAAATTAGGTTTTATTAATTTCAGTTATATATTATATATAGATAAAATAAATATAAAAAAATGCGTAGAATATTGTTACTATTGCATTGATTGATAAAACTTAAGTCTTAAAAAACTTTTATCTGTAGCTTAAAAACAAACAATCTCACATATAATGAAAATCAAAAGATAATAATTTCTCTTTTTTTGTCTTAAAATATTTATAAAAGAATTCCTTCATTATTTTGCTCTATTCCAAAAAAAACAATTTTAAATATCATTAAAATTAATAAAATGGCTGATATTTTTACGATTGTAAGCAGAATGTCTTAAATAAAACAAATTAAGATGATAATACTCTCATCGTGGAAAAATTGTGTACAGACACCGCTTACAATAATATTTGAGAAAATCTTCGAATTACGTTGTCTCAATATGATTTCATTTTAAAAGCAAACAGTTATATTTCTTGATATATAACTTCGTAAAATAAATACTTAGATACATATACATCTACAACATGATCTTAAATGTATTACTTACGACTTTTAAATATAAAAAAACTGCATGAATAATCCCGCCAAAAAATAACGCCAGTCGAGTTTTTTTTTTTAATTTTCTCCGTCTAAACAATCAATGGTCTAAAATATTCTACTCACATTAGTCAGATGTCTGTAAGTAAACGTGTCGTCACCCATACTCTCAAACTTGCACTACAATACATCCACTAATTTAAGATAATTTAAATGAATATTGGACATAAAATACTGAGACGCGACAATAATTAAAAGTACTGCAATTAATTTTAACTAATATAAAATCTATTTTAAAAAAAACGCTTTTTTAATAAAAAAAAACAATAATTTAATTAAGTTTCAAGTATTGCCAACATAAAATATTCAACAAATATATACTATAGTAAAAATATTAACAAAATATTTCATGTCTAAATATTTATAACTCTATATCTATGACGAAATATCAGCGAAAACTTCAATTTTCAACTATATTCCCTTTATATAGAGTATTTAATCGATTGCACTCAGTACTAATTATTAACACGTAAAGATTCTGTTCGTTCCTTGTAATTGTAATGAGAAAAACCTTTGTATTGAGTAAGTATAGTAATATTCCTGATTCCCAAAGAGGGTTGATGTCAGGCAGGCGGCCGGTCGTAAAAACAATTAGCCAAAACTATTCACATGTAAGGCAGACGCTGGCCAAAGCTGGGATGTTGTAGAAGAATAATATATAATTAATTAGTTTAAGCTAGTTATAATCAACCAAGAATAATCACGACAAACAATATCACGAAAGTCTTCCAATAAAATAAGTTAGTTGTAAATTAATATTTAAAATATATTTATTAATATAAAAATTTAATAATAATCTTGTAGTTCTCAATCTATTTCTCCGGTAGGTATAATTTTTAATTGTTATATTTTCATTTATAATTATATATGTTTCTGAACGTAGACACTTCTATAATATCAAAATATATATTTAAAAAAGGTTTTAAGGTTGGATTTAGTGTATTTAATGATAATTTTACTAAATCTAACGTTAAATTATAGTTAATTATAATGTTCTTAGATCTAAATGCTTTATAGATGAAACAAAACAAGCTTTTACGACTTTTTTATTTAAAATGTTATGACAAAGTCTTAAATTGTTAAAACTATTTAAAATTTACACTACATATATATATAGAAACTTTTTTTTATCTTGTCAATGTCAAAGTACTTTTTTTAGTAATATAACCAAGAATCCAAAGCGATTGTAAATAAGGCTTAAAAAATATATCGTTCTCACTTAAATCTATGGTTATTAATCGATTCCATATCAAAAAAAAATATTAATTTAATCATTTTAATACTTACTTATTCAAGGTAAATAAATTTTTATTATATAAGCCATTTATATTAAAAAATATTATATGTAGCATTTAAATATTGCTGTTGTATTGTTCTTGAGACCTTGTGGTTATATAAAAAAAAATAATTTGTCTATGGATGTCTTAGTGTGAAAATTGTGTACTGTGTAGTAATTAGTTTTCACTAATAGTTGTAGGTTTTATTGTGTCCAAATAACCTTCCTTTCATTGTACGTCACATGTTAAAAATGTTGCTTTTTATGTAGTTAAAGAAATTTTAGACACTATGATTTGTGATTGTGAAATATTTTTTAATCTGTGATATTATTTTGCTGTTGATATCGTTGTTGTGAGAAATATAGAATAAAAATTGAGTAAACATTGTTTTATTTCGCTTTGAAATTGTCTTGTTATTAGGTAAAACACCATATACTTTATATCAAAATATTGTCCACAACACTTTAAACAGAATACAATTGAAGTTAAAAAAAACCATAGACAACAATTAAATTTTATGAATTTTGTCTAAATATATGACGAATGTATTCGTCACAGTCTTTGTTTCTTAAAATTTTTGTATACGTCAAGGCGAAATTTAACAGCCTTCAATATTTTTACTTTATCTTAATGTATGTATGTTAAAAGCGGAAAACATCACGAGTAGAATATGTACTTCACAAAAACGAATGTTGACATATGTATAGATTTATATATGTATATAAAATTCTCATGTCGCGGTGTTAGACAGAGAACTCCTCCGAAATTTTAATTAAAAAAATATTATAATAATTGTATATCACATAAATGTAAACTTAATACATGTAATAATAGATTCGATGAAAATTGAACCAAAAAAATGCCAAATGCTTTAATTTTCATTTAATAGTTTCATTGGTATGTTTTAAGTATTTAATCAAGTAGGGTAACCATAAGGCAAATTGCCTAACATGTAAGAACTGGCAATCTTACAAAATGTTAATTAAACATAATTAAAAATCAACGCAATTGCTTTTAAATGGGGAAAAACCGCATAGAAGTTGGAAGATCCATTTCAGAACTATGTAAAGAACTATACACACATATACAAGGTGACTGGTGAATTACTGTCGATACTTGAGGACGTGATATTTGACGATCATATATGACAAAATAAAAATTAATATAACATAAATATTAATAAACTTCTAAGTAAAGTTAACCAAAAGTTATGTAATTAATTACGCATCGCGTGGAACACTTGGAACGTGTCCACACTTTATTTATTTATACGGAAATTTGGTCAAAAATTAAGTGCCTATTTTTTTTACATAATTCGAATGAGAATCATGTACTGAGTATTCTCCTTAAATATTGATAGTAATTCACCAGTCACCCTGTATATAACATAGCCCCTTATTTTTTACGCCGAAGGTTAGGAAACTAGTTAGATATGGAGACCTTTATATGTATATTTATATATATTTTATGTTTTTATTTAAGTTCGCTATCACAAATCATAATTCAAACAATCGGTGAACTAATATCGAATCAATTAAGCAGGTTTAAGTTTCATGTATTATAATAATATAAAAATAATAATTGAAAGAAAATTTCAACAATATTTTCATTATACTTTTCTAACGTTACAAATATTTAATTCTTTTACAGTGTAAAGATAAATAGCCCATAAAGACGATACATAAAACAAGTCACGATTTGAATTTACAAAGTCTTAAAGTACAAAGTTATTCAATGTATTTACGAGGTTTTAAACTCCTGTGTTGCCATAACTTCTGAAGGCTTACACCCACCTGCCCCCTTTATATGTGACTTAATTCGCTTCGAACTATTTATTATACATTTTCGTGAATAAATAATAAAATAATTAGTAATAATAAGCCATAGTAATTCTACTAAACTTAAAATAACACCATATTTAACCATATCGCTACAAAATATGTATATCAGACCTTGTAAGAAAATGTTTATTTTATTGTCCGCTTGTCTATATACATATGAACATATCTATCTTACTATTAAAAAATTCTTACGAAAAATTACCAAAGACATTTTATTTATTTTTTTGACAAATTCATCCCTGTCAAGTCAGGCAAAGAGAACACAGCTCATACAGCCATGTCTTTAATCTACCAAAGAGTACCATTATTTTTTTTTTTTGGTTTTTAATTGAAACATGACGTTCTATATGAACGACTGAAGTATACGTCCAAGTTTTTTTTAATATTAAAGCAATGTTGAGCTAGTATTTACATTTGAAAATAACGAGTTCGAATAGCATTATCAATATTTTCTCGTTTCGGGTTCGAATTCGGCTTATGTTGACGATTTTTTTTTTATGGATTAACATTATAACTTTTTACTTAATTTTAACATAAATTCTATAAAGTAGATGAAATAATTTATAATCTCCAACTTTTTTATTAAAAATAAAAAACATATTGGAGAAAGTTAAAATCATTTAATAATTACGAAAAGGAAACATTTCATTGTTAATTTACGACTTCCACTTAATGCATATGGAAGCAAAGATACTTGTTTTTGATGATTATTTACTTTAGTACTTAATAATATACAAAACAAAACTCAGGAACATGTAGTAAAGTGTTTACGAAAACAGTTTGTGTATTGCAAAACAATATTATCTTCAGTTCAAGTTTGCATCGTCACACTAAACAAACTAATTTTCAGTATCATATTCTATACGCTCAAATTGACATATCAGATTGTCATTATAAAAGTCAAAAGCTACGGCTAGGTTCCTAATACGTAATTATATGTATTTACTTTGTATAATGATTTTAATTTTACTCACCAGTTGGCGCTAGTGACGCTTAGAACTGTAAAAACTGTCAAGAAAAGTCGGAACCAAATCACTATTTTATTATAATAATTTCTTTAATTTCATGTTAAATCAATCTAAAACATTGAACCTGTTGCGCAGTATCAATGCGTTCGGAAAACACGGATTGATGTAAATTTGAAGATAATATAATGCAAATGTTTTTGGTTACTTTGTCTACTACAAAAAGTGACAGTTACATTTGTTAATAAGTTTCAATAACCTTTTCTGCTCTGTGATATATTTAGAAAATTTTCGTAATTAATTACAGTTGATTATTTTGATTATTTCAAACTTACCCAAAATCTAATGTATAAGAACAGTAATTGAGTCTGTACTAAAAGTACTGAAAACTTTCACAACCACAAGATTTACAAATAAATTATGTATAATATAGTTAAAAAAACTTAACAAACAAGACTTAACAGAAAATTTAATAAATTATGCTTATGTGTATTTGTTATATTTTATATTATCAAGGTTATTTTACTTGTGCGTCAACGCGCCAAAAATATTTTCTACGTTTGTAGCTCATGATGTCCGAAGATTTTATCTATTAAACCGTATAATATTGGATCATGAATAATACTTTTAGAAAATTATAAAAGAACTTCTTTTTTGGCATCCAAATCGCGTAGGTTTTGTAAAAAAAAGAATCTGGGTATTTTATAAGCAATGTTTAGTAATAAATTACAATGGGGGATGATTTCCGAACAATCATTTCTGGAAATTGTGTCTATCAAACACGAATACGTGTATCGGTACATAAAAAGATTTATATCAATCAACGTTGTGGTTGCCCACACAACTGAAGATCGAATCTTATTGATAATGAACAACTAAACTTTTGCTAGAACATTTTGAAGTAAATTATATAATAAATTTCACTTAAATAAAATTATTTGGTCATTAACACAACTACACAACTCTCAGCAATTTTCATTAAATATCTATGGCATAAATTCATAAGATATAGGCACCTAAAAACTAGGAAGCCATTACTTGTCACTAAACTTAACAGAACCACTTCTGTCAAATATGTTATCAATGATAAACTATGTGTTATTTGTTTTCTTTTAAATTATATGAAACCTTATTACATTGATATATAAATAACTTTATTATTTTCCACGTTTGAAAGGAGAATATATTCGCAAAAAAATTCTAGGAAGTATGAACACGAGTGATATGGTTTAAATGAAAAAGGTTAATTAGAAATGGACTTAATAATATAAAAAAATAAAAGTTGCGATATATTCGATCAAGGAAATATGGAAAATTCTGAAACTATGTATTGCCGCTTGTGTGCTGAACAAAAGAACGCTGCTGATATAGTTAATCGTGATAACATCGTACAGAATTTCGGTGAAGTAGTTTCTAAATTGTACTTCTTGAACTCACTTTTCATAGATTTATTTAAAAAGGAACAAATGCTGCCGAAAACGGTTTGCGTAAGTTGTTACGAGGGATTGAATAAGGCTTACGCATTCGTGAATAAAGTACAAAAAGCTCAAGAGTTATTAGTTAATATATTCCCCGAAAACATTGAAAAATATGCTTCATCAGACGACGATAAGGCTGGTATCGACGAATTCTTAAACCCAGCAGAGCTGAGCGGTAATGAAGACGTAAAACAGGGATCCATAGAAATAGAAGTACCGATACCAGCACCAGCTAAAGTTGAAGTCAAGAAAGAACCGAAAGATGAGGTTGATAATGAAAGTCAGGAAAGTACATTTGACAACACCCTAAATGTCCAAGACCTGTTAAACGCAGCCATGTGCAATGTGCCATATTCCGAAGTAACATTATATGCTAAAGAAGTTAAAGATGCAAGTAAAAGATCGATAACATCGTGGAAAGAGTACCCGTGGCTCTGTGCCCACTGCGATATAGAATTTCTGGATATAGCAACACTAAGGATGCACTCGAAAATGACACACGGCAAGTGTAACGCATTCGTGTGTATAGATTGTGATAATTGTGGTACCGGAGACTTTGAATATTTCATTAATCATGTTAAGTCGCACAGGAAGAGGCTCAGGTGATTTAAATTTAATTAATTTATTAACCTATCTAATATAACTAACAGTGGCCATAATTTAAGATTTGCTTGTCTTTGTTATAATATGTGAGTTGCACAATAACTACATAATTGATAGTCGGTTACCTAAAATTTCAGTGTTATATTTACATATATAACCTCATCACCCATACACATATATATAAATAGATGTCTAATTTTGTTATAATATCTGGTATTTTTTTAAGAACATATCTCATTTAGGCTAAATTGGCACTTCTACAATCTTACATTGCATTTTTATCCTATCAACCTTATTTAAGATAGTTTTTCCCTCTGCAAAGTAATATTTAAAAAAATCATTTTGCTATTTTATAATATTGGTAATGCATAATTTTTTTACATATTTTATAACTAAAATCCTATGCAAAATAATCTTAGCTCAATTTCACTGAAAAATTATTAAAAAGCAATGTTGAGTAGCAAAATAACTTTAAATCTATTCATTTGTAGTAATAAAATCTCTTGAGTATGTTAAAGAATTTCTTTTTAAAATAAAAATATATAAAACCTTTTTAATATATTTTAAATAGTTTACAACTTATTTTTCAGGAAAAGATGTTACTATTGCGATGAAGTTGTGAATGAGGAACTACTTCTAGAACACATTCAAGAACACATACAGAAGTTCCAAGTACCATGTAACATTTGCGGAGAGATTTTAGACAATAGCGAAGCTCTGTTCAAACATCTAGAAGAATACAACTCGACGAAACCCAAACGGAAACCCAGAAGAAAGAGAGGGACTCCGCTGACCGTTGAAGATCTAACATGTGAATTATGTAAGAAAGTATACAAGAATCCTAATAGTTTACGTGATCATATGAAAATACACAATGGTGATAGAAAGAGGAATTATACTTGTGATCGGTGTGGAAAAATGTTCTACAACAAAGGCACTCTATCATCCCACATCTTAGCCCACGACCAAATCAGGCCTCATATATGTAGAATATGCAATAAATCGTTCCTATTCCCAAATATGTTGCGACGGCATGTTGAAATGCACTCCGGTGTAAAACCTTTCTCCTGTGAACAGTGCGGCCGCTGCTTCAGATTGCAGTACCAACTTAACGCACATAAAATTATACATACGGATTCTATGCCGCACGTCTGCCAATATTGCAATAAAGCGTTCAGATTTAAGCAGATATTAAAGAATCACGAGAGACAGCATACGGGCGCCAAGCCGTATGCATGTCAGAATTGCGGCATGGAATTCACGAACTGGTCGAATTATAATAAGCATATGAAACGGCGACATGGTTTAGACACTTCTAAAAAGAAAATCACGCCTGATGGAGTTTTTCCTATAAATCCACAAACAGGACAAATAGTTCAACTAAACGATGCCAGTACGGAAGAATGGAAAACGAAAATCATGGTACCAGGAAAGAGAGGCAAAAAGAAGATTATAAAGAAGGTTGAAGATGTAGCATAGATTATAAATAAATAAAAAAACCTGAGTTTTAATTATAAGTCGATTTAAATTATTAAATAATATTTTTGTATGAATAATGAATTGACATAGATTATATAGTTTCATTTACACGTCTATATTCTTGCCGAGAATTGTGTAGTACAATATTCCTAAACATTGTTTTTAAGCAGATATTATAAATTGCCATTTTATTTATAAAGTGTATTGTAAATATTTTTACACGAAATAAATATACAGAAACTGAGGCATTCTTTTTAATTCATTTATAGGAAATATTGAGAGATTTTTTGTTTTGTGCAGCGACAAATATAGAAAAGAGGAATTAAACTTTAATGTTATGAATTACAAACTATCTATTATTGTATAAAATATAATGTTAAAATAATCTACAATTTGTATTATTAGTTTATTACTTTCTTCTGCTTACCACTTTTATAAATATAACTGGTTTCATCATTATATATAAAAGAAAGTCGTGTTAGTTACACTATTTATAACTCAAGAATAGTTGTACGGGTTTGACTGAAAATTGATGGAGAGATAGATTAGAACAAGGAAAGGACATAGGATTGTTTTCATACGATTGAAAAGTTGATCAAATGCAAAATCTTTTTAACTACTGTCTTTAAGGAGGAATAGAGTTCGCCCCGTCAGCTATACTTCCTAATTCTAAAACTAAAGCAGATGAAATTACGGATAACAACTAGTATTAGATAAATTTAAGATCTTTATTTCAAATTATATTGTAAATTATTTGTCGACTATATTTTCTAAAATGACAGAAGGGTCGTAACTATTCACAAATAAAAACAACTTTATTTTTCATAATTCTTTTTGTAATAAAAATAATAATTGTACAAAAAGTTGAATCTTAATATTTAATGCTTTTTCACTATTAAAGCTAAACATCTGGGTGATATATTGTTATCTACAATTTTTTTATATTTACAAGATAATATACCGCGTTCTTGCAAATATATTAGTCTGTCGTATAATATGAAATTTTCAAACACTGGTTGTAAGTAATTTTGGAGTAATACAAATATAGCTGCCTTTTTAAATGTCAATTCAGGTAACTCCCGCCAAATTGAAATAATTTCTTCGACATCGAAATTGATATTTTCTGTATTATTTGATCCGTTTCCACGTATCAATTGATAACCAGTCAATGCATCTTGTACATAATCTTCGAAATTGTTTTTTACGGATTTTAATCTAACTGCTTTTCGTTTCGTTCTTTTTAGAATTAAATTATCTGAAACAAAGATTTTATATATATCTATGTATATAAATACTTATTTATGTATATAAAATTTTATTCTTACTTTTGAATGCGTAGACTTGCAGTACAGCTCGAGCTAATAAATTAAAAACCGAATCTTCAATTTTAGTACCAAGGGTTGACGTCTGTGCTGCCAATCTTAAAAATGGTATCGATAATATTTCCAAGGAATTTTCATCACAACATTCTTTTAAAGCGTCGCTCAAGGGAAAATTCTTAAACCTTCCATTGTCTGATATCATTCGATGATAACAACAAGACATAATGACTAAACCGTTTGCAGTTTTTGAGTTCAAAAATATATTAATGGCATCTATTGTCAAATCTGCACATGCGTGGAGTCCGGTTATGCAAAAACTATCACAATTTAGGAACTTATCACACAAGTATTCTTCTATATTATTTTTAGAATTTTCATTTATTGTATGTTTTATATACTTAACTCGTGAAAGTGAATTTATATGATATTTTCTTTGACGACGTTTTGCTGCAACGTAATTGTTTTCATTACACTCTAATCCCAGAACATTGAGATTTGTGGTTTCGTATAATTGTTGATCTAAATAACCCTAAAAGAATAAGAGTTTTATTTTATAGAGTATTTTAATTCAATAAAGAATTATGTTAAATAATCAACTACATTAATATAATAAAAAGTTTGTGTCGTTTAGTCGAATTCTCAAGAATTCGTCAACCAAATATAAAACATTTTTTAAGTAGTGCCCTTACCAGCCCTGAACCAAAATCGACAACAGTCTCACAATTAATTTCCTCACAAAAATCTTTTATTTCTTTCGCTAAATACGTAATTTCGTGTTTCTTTTTAGGACTTAAAGGTACATTTAACAAGAAATCTAAATCTGTGTGTTTAATTGTAGTATATTCAGATTTCAATCTATCAAATTTCTCAAAAAATGTGTCCAAATAATTGCAAACTGTAGATCTAAGGTCACAGCTCTCGTTAATAGTAAAATCTATTTCATCAATCTCAATACATTCCAAAACATTTTCTGTCAATAGATCTGTGTTTGGGAATTTAAATAAATACTGATATTCCTTAAAACACTGCAGACATTTTGTGAAGTAATCAATTGGTTCTTCGAATTTTACTGGTAATGCCATATCTGGAAGGAAAATTGTTTATCAATATTCTAGAATATATAATATGGTGTATTAGGATCTCAGTGACGCAGTCACAGACTAACAGCTACAGTAAACTCGAAAATAAAAAAGAAGTATTTGGTTTCATTAAACAAAAATGTTTACTATTACTTAAGAGTCTTTTAGGGTAATTTTTATGCTTTTATATGTATATAATTTGTTAGAAAATTTAGGGATATATATGAATAAAAATGTAATTTTATGTAGATCCAATGATTAACTATTGAGTTTCTTTCAATATAGGGTCTACGTTTGGACTATGGACATACTTGACTGTCAAAGTAATTTTTCAACAATATTTCATTAAATTTGACAAAATGGGAGTAATAATAAAAATCAAATACAAAAAAAGCTATATCTATTTATTATATTCTTTAATAAATACAATATATATATGTTTCTATTGTATTCTCATGTTTTTTGTATTGCAAAACAATACTTAATACAACATGGCCTAAAATTCTAATTAATCAACAATTCAATAAAACTATTACAATCTAGTTTTCTATAAAGTACATTTGGCTTATAGAACTTAGTTATATCTAAAGGGAATTTCAACAAATAATTTAATCTTGTGGTCCGTTAATTGTATCCCAGTTTTCAGTGTCCTTAATAATTTGCTGGTTTGCACCGTTGCCAATCACACATTTGCCGGACCATTTGTCTCCTTTTAGATATTTCTGGCAGACTTCTATGAGATCTTCCTTAGTTACAGCAAGTACTCGTTCCCTTTGTGTCTGCCAAATATCATATGATAAGCCATACAGGAACAGCTCGATTCCTCTCATATATTCAGCTATCGGTTGATCCATTTGCTGAAGTATGGACAGCTTAGCTTCAAATAGATTCTGGTCATCTACCAAGTCTTTGTTTTTGGACATCCAATTGGTCGTGTCATCAAATACATCCAAAGTGACCCTTGAATTTGGGTCTCTGTATGAGTAGAAATTGAAAATTCCATCGATGGTTAGCATTGCACCGCCGCCGTAAGCGCCATTTTGTTCGCGAACTATAGGATGGAGGTATTTCGACGTTATAAATCTGGATAGGACCCTCAATTTAGGGTAATCGGGGTCAGTATATGGTATCGTTGGTATGACTTTTGAGCAGAAGTTTACAGGAATGTTCATAGCTATGTGAACCCCTCGATTTTCTTTCTTTGGAGCCTTGCAATCCGTCCAATTAATCCTATTGACATCAGACTGATCATCTTTACACAAATCCATGCAGAACTGTTCAATAGTACTTTGTACGTTATCATCTGAGTAATGAAACGCTGCCCGTAAATTGGTGCCGTGTAGTATTTTTTTGCCGATTTCGTCAACAATCTCTTGGACGTTTTCTATTTTGTACTGTTTCTGAGCTTCTTGCATATTCATGACGTGTTTGATTCCTAATAGACATTCCTTACATTCATCTACACGGGACACTAACGACCGCGCGCTCTGCATGGCGTATGTATGACCACTGTCTATAATACCACTAGTCAATGATGAGGCGTAGTTATTCAAGAGCATGGTCATTCTCTCGCTGTTTGAAAAGTTTGGTTTGCTGAATATTTCTTTCCATATGTCGAGCATTTTTGGTAGATTATGGTCCAAGCAATGGCTGCTCAATATGACACCCTGTTCGAACTGCTCTCTTTGATCGATGTGCTCAGTTATATGAGTCAGGAATGATAATCCTGAGGTCGACTTGCTGACATATTTGTCAAAATCTCTGTAATTATACGACTTGGTGTCGAATTTATCCAAAATGTAGTTGAAGAATGGCAAAAACTGTCTCTGCTGCTCATTCAAACACTCAGTACCTAGTACTCCCTTGAAATACGTGACGCCGTTTGTGTTAGCCCTACATAATTGCAATGGCACCGTCCCAGAAATTGTATGTTTCAAGGGAGGCGCTGTTTTGTTCAAGGTTATCTCATCAATCTTCAAACACGGCAGCACCTCCAGATTTTGTATTTCTTTTTGTGCTTTAGAAAGTTCTAACCCTTCTTTGTAGATACTTTCTTTCTGTTCCGATGTCAATTGACTTACTTTGGCTTTTAATAATTCTGCCTCGGCATTGATGAAAACGTCATCAAATTTAGGATCAGGTTTCATAGTCATTATCAGCTTATGGTTGTTCAGGATGAAATACTTCTCAATGACATTTTTAACATAGTCAGGATTCTTGAGATTCGTTTTCAATTGCTCCAATAAATTATTAACTTTAAGAGCGCTTAATATCGGCCCGTTGTGATTCCATAGAGGCATCAAGTTGAAAAGCATATTGAGGCCAAATTTCGGCGATTGATGCTTTATGGATAGCTCAAAACCGTGGAGTACACTTTCGATATGGTCCTTCTCAAAGCCTTTCTCATATATATCTTGTATGGTTTGATTTGCAATTTTCTCAACCAGGTCAAACTTTGACTCTTCGACATCACGTAAGCCGACCACAAATAGTGTATCACGTATCTGGTTATCGTAGCCTGTTAAAGAATTGTACCCACCGGAGATGTTTTTCTCGATTAGACTTTTATAGAAAGCTGAATTTGGACCTATAATCATTAATTCCGAGAGTGCCGTCAGCATGAATGTCTCATATATATCTGTTATATCGGACATAACCATACCCAAGGCTATTTGGTTCTGTTTCTCTATAGGACCACCATATTGATCAAATCTGCAAGGGATATTTGATCGTTTTAGCATTTTCCACCTCTCCTGTGGTGCAACAACGGTTGCACTGGGATCGAGGTAGTCATATTTACTAAGATAAGTCTCATTAAGGAATTTTAGATTATGTTCAAGTGGAAAACTACCATAGGAGTATATTCTTGAGTTACTCGGGTGATAGTATGTGGCGTGGAACTTTTTCAAATGCTCATGAGTTAGTTCTGGAATGTGTAACGGATCACCGCCTGATACAAAGCCGTATGTACCTTGTGGTAGTATTGTATTAATGAACTTTTGGCCAAACAGTGAGCTCGTCTCGGAAAATGCGCCTTTCATTTCATTGTACACTACACCTTTGAACACCAAATTTGATGATTTATCATCTAGATTGGAATGTTCCAGCCTCCAACCCTCTTGTAGGAAGTCTAATCTAGATAGATTAGGTTTAAACACAGCATCTAGATATACTTTCTGTAGATTCCTATAGTCAACTTCATTTTGTGATGAAAACGGGTAAAATGTGTAATCGGGACCCGTCAGTGCATTCATGAATGTAGCTAGAGATCTGTTGAGCATTTTGAAGAAGGGATCTCTGACGGGGTACTTTTCTGATCCACACAACACCGTGTGCTCTAAAATGTGTGGGGTTCCCATAGAATCGAGCGGAGTAGTTCGGAAACCGACAGAAAACACATTATTTGTATCATCTCTTTCTAAATGCAGGTATTCAGTCTGAGTTTTCTCATGTCTTAACAGGTACGCGGTCATGTTGTACTCATTTATGGCTTCAACTTCACAGCACATGAATCCATGGTAGACTTTCCCCGGTTGTAAGCTCGATAGATTCTTCTTAGTCTTCAGAATCCCTCCAGCGTAATTTCTCTGGCTAGATATAATTAGGCTTTTCTGTAAGCCCGAGAGCTTGTGAAGTCTTGAATACATTTTGATAATCTCCTGCAACACAACAACCACTCACTATTCATCAAAATACGTCTAAAAATACATTTTATCGTCCTCTAAGGAATATTGAAAAATATTATAATAATCCGTAACGTAAGTTTATAAAGCTGTATAATTCCGAATATTTTGATTTTTTAATTCTGATTAAAAAACAAATGAAAGTGACGCAATAGATATACTTACTTAACTGAGGGAAATATTACTAATAAGACGTTGTAATAACTATGCAAAGTATTATATCATTAGTTCCAATTATTTCTTATGAACATATTTGTTATAATTCATATTTCTAAACAAATAACCTCACATAAGCCGGGACCTACAAATCTTTTCTCTGTAATAGAATTTTACAAAACCACAGATGTTATAATTGACAGATATATATATATATATAAATATATGCCCATGAAAAAGCTACTTTTTTAGAAAGCTCCAAAATTTTAAAATCATTTTAACTATATATTGTTATCTTACTTAGGTAATTAGGTAGGTCTTGTATTTTTGTTACTTAATACATTCTTATAAAAGAAGTTTAATAACACTCAGTTCATAATTTGCTTTATTCTTCTATATTTAGATATTTTTGTATAAATTACTTAAAATTATCATAATTAAAGAAAATTCTTCTCCAATAATGTATAAGAACAACATAAAACTAGAAGAGAACAATTTTGGATTATTATTTATTAAATATTGTCGAGGACAAATAAATTTTTAGAACATGAGGCTTTTGAAGTTGACATATGGCATATAAATAAAATTCTTTTTTATTGGGGATCTATACACGTGTTTACGTGTGGGATCCATTTGTTAGTTTTTAATGTAAAAAGTAGCTAACAACAAGTCAAAATGAGTTTATATAACTTTAAAAAGATAGCTGTGGTCCCCACAGCGAAGGTACGTAGCATTTTATATACAATTCTATATAATTTTTATATACAATCGTATTATAACCTATTATCACCACAAATTTTATGAAAACCATATTTTCAGGACTTCATTGATATTATATTATCAAAAACACAAAGGAAAACACCAACAGTTGTCCACAAGCACTATAAAATAACCAGGATACGTGCTTTTTATATGAGAAAAGTTAAATTTACACAACAAAACTTCCACGACAGATTATCACGGATTATACAGGTATTTCATAATGTTTTAAAAATATATTATTATATTAATTATAACAACAAAACTATCAATAATATTTTGTTTTAAATTTTAATTACATTACACACATATCATAACAAACATTCATTAGTTAAAAAATAAAGCAGTAAAAATAGAAAAAAAAAATAGTATAATTTTGTATCACAATGATTTCAGTTCGCATTTATTGCTTTTTTCTTATTATTAAATATAGTTAAGTCTCCTGACATTGTCATAGAAAAATTATACAAGGAATAGAATTAGTCAAATTAATAAATATAATCTAAATTTGGGACTTTATAGAAAATTATTTACAAATATAAATTATTTACAAATAAAACCAGCTAATAATCTTGGTTATCAGATTTGAAAACCTAAACACCACATATGAAAGGAAATATCAGAATTTAGAAATAAAAATGTATATTATATATAATTTTCATACAAACTTGTTTATTATATACTTATGAAATATTAGTAATTAACTGAACAACTCTAAACTCTAAAATTCTCATAATTCACAGGAGTTTCCGAAGTTGGATGATGTCCATCCATTCTATGCTGATCTGATGAATGTTCTATATGACAAAGATCATTACAAGTTGGGTCTCGGACAACTGAATACAGCCAGACATCTGATTGATAAGTAAGTATATATATGTATAACATTTTCATACTAATACATATAGATTGTTGTGGTGGTCTAGAGGCTAAAAGCCTGCCTTTTGTGCATGAGGGTGCAGGTTCGAAACCTGGCAAGTACCAATGCGGTTTTTCCAAGTCATATGTACTTTCTGAGAATATTTAGAAGCCACTGGCAGATGTATGAAAACATTGTGAGGAAACCTGGACTAATAATTTCACAATTATAAGTTTGAAATCGCCAACCCGTCTTGAGCAAGTGTGGTGATTAATGCAGAAACCTTCTCCATGTGAGAAGAAGCCTTTGCTCAGCAGTAGACTTTAATAGGCTGATGATGATAATATATATATTTATACTCAGTATAAATATACAACAATATTTTTGTTTGTAACTATTGTCTGTTTATTATGGCCCATCTCTGAAACTAGATTGATTTCAAGGGAACTTTCATTGCAGACAGCAGATTTAATATTTAATAATTCTTTTTGCTGATAATTATTCACATAAGTAATAAAATTAACCTCTCCACTTAAATTGAATCTAGGGATATCTATTTTATTCCAAAACTATTATGTTACAATGGAAATTAAAACTGAAACTAAATAAATAATGAGATGATGATGATAATGATGAACCTTAATCATATTACAGTGTGGCCAAGGACTATGTCCGTCTCCTCAAGTTCGGTGACTCCCTCTACCGATGCAAACAACTCAAGCGAGCCGCCCTGGGTCGTATGGCCACCATCATGAAACGACAGGCCGCTAATCTTACATACTTGGAACAAGTGAGTTTATATACTATGTAATATTATTCAGAAATTTTTAATTTATGAGTAATATAATTTTATTTACTTATTTGTTTAATAGGAAGCCAACATAATACACCGAAACTTTAACTACATTATAACATGATGGAACTTAATTGTTTATTTATTTTATTTTGAAGTTGAAGAATTTTATAAAGTCAAGTTATAGAGTTTATGTGTGTGTATGTATATATTTACATAAGTTAGAATACCTGTCGGTAATTAAAAAAATAATACATATTATATATTTCAATGAAACTAATATTTTTCGGATATACTATGCGTAAATAAGGCGGCCAACCGTCCCGCATTCTGCGGGACCCTCCCGCAATGCTAGACGAAATCCCGCTTTAAAATTATTCGTAAAATAGTCCCGCAAAACGTTGTATGCGTCCCGCATGTCCCGCATCCCTATTTCTCTACCACACTTCTACACAACACCCATACCACGATCAACAGTACAGGAATACAGATTACCTAATAGGGACAAGCGTATCGCGCCCGCAATAATCTCGTTTTCTTTCTTTCTTCTGAACTCATGACGCGTCAGAGAGTAGTTAAATTTAATATGGGCAGTTGCGAAGATTTTTATGACATTCCCAATCCCTAACACCCCCCCCCCCCCGCCATTCACGAAAGGTTACGTCCCGCATTCAGTTTTCGGAAAGTTGGCCGCCTTATGCGTAAAACGTTACGATGCGTTACGGGGGCGGGAGGGGGTGACTCTTACAAAACGTTACGTAGCATTGTTTCTAAAAAAATTATAGTTTAAAACCCCAAACTGGCAACCCTAATTTCAAATTTCATATATGTTACATTATGTCGACCAGGCTAATACAATCCCTCGATTGGTCTGGTCAACATTTTTAATTTGTTCTCTCAAGTTTGCAAACCTCTTAATTAATATTTTACGGGGAATAGGTATTCCCCGTAAAATATTAATTAATGTAGGTACATTGCATTGTAAGTCTTTTAATGTTGCTTCCGTGGTCAGTATTCGTTAGTGTTTATCCGCGACTTCATAGTGTTCATACTGTAATAACTTCAAAAGAGACAGATTTATATCAGTGATCTTGTTTCATTTAGTAGATTAAAACTATAACAAACTATTACATATTTTTTAAGACTTTAACATGAAATTGATCTCTTGAGTGTTACGTAACGTTTAGAGAAGGGGTGGGGGTTCAGAAAAACGTTACGGTGCGTTACAATGGGTGGAAGGGGGGGCAAAAATATTTAAAAATTGCTTTACGTAATACTTGAACGCTCCCTCCCTCGAACCAATTTTGATTTTCAATTATGGATATGCAATGTGTTAGAGATAGTTTGGTTGCTATGATTAAGTTTTTTTTATATTACTTTTATAATTATAGCTATTTTAAGTGTTTAAGTTATAAGATAGTTTAATTAAATGCCTTTTATTCCCAGGTCCGTCAACACTTGGCTCGTCTTCCATCAATAGATCCCTACACACGTACTATCATCATATGTGGTTTTCCCAACGTCGGAAAATCTAGTTTCATCAACAAGGTAACGAAAATTAATATAAAATGTATAATATTACAAACAATATTGAGTTTCCAATGTACTGAGTTTTAAATAACTTTTTTTTATGAAATCGAAACTCAAACCTATTTTCAGTGCTTGATTGATCATTTACCAAAAATAGTATTTGTCCTCGGGTTTGCATATTTAATTCTCTCATATTTAATATTTACTCTATATAATTTATAACTCGGAACAAATGTATATACAGGGTGACTGGTGAATTACTATCGATACTTGAGGACGTGATATTTGACGATCATATATGACAAAATAAAAATTAATATAACATAAATATTAATAAACTTCTAAGTAAAGTTAACCAAAAGTTATGTAATTAATTACGCATCGTGTTAACACCCTACAGATTAGGTATACACTCACACTCACACATACGCGAGCGGAGCGTAGTGTTGTATCAGCACGCCGCCGCACGCGTCCACACTTGGAACACTTGGAACGTGTCAAGACTTTATTTATTTATACGAAAATTTTGTCAAAAATTAAGTGCCTATTTTTTATACATAATTCGAATGAGAATCATGTACCGAGTATTCTCCTTAAATATTGATAGTAATTCACCAGTCACCCTGTATATGTATACTTAAAATCTACAGCAGATCCAAAAAAACTCAAAAATTATTTCTGGTGGCTATCATTTGTTTTCAAATTCTATTGTAGTAGATGTATTGAAAATTATGATTAAATAATAAATAAATCTTTAATGAGTTGAGTCATCACCTGTATGAAATATTTTAAATATCTAATTGATCTACAAATAATTAAAATTATAACTTTTTAACAATATATTTATATTTTTGTCACAGATAACCCGAGCAGATGTTGAAGTGCAGCCGTATGCTTTCACAACAAAGAGTTTGTATGTCGGACATACAGATTATAAATATCTAAGATGGCAGGTATGTCTAATATAATTAATATGTATTATATGTAGTAATGAAATACATCTATTATTATACCTGATGTCTTTAATAAGCTTAATATATCTAATTTCCTAATTTTAATATTTGTTATTTTCAGGTGATTGACACCCCTGGTATTCTTGATCATCCTCTTGAAGAGCGTAACGTGATTGAAATGCAAGCTGTGACAGCCCTGGCACATCTGCGAGCTGCTATATTATATGTTGTAGACATATCAGAACAATGTGGACACAGTCTGGAAGAACAGGTAGTTATGTAGATTGACTAGATAGATAGATAAATAGATAGATAGATTCTGAACTTGACTTTGTCTGTGTTTATTCGTAAATGGCGTCAGAAAATAAGTTAATAGTGCGTGAAGTCCCTTAGCTATGAAGAAATGAAAGTTCGTTATGTTGGAATGAAAATAGAAAGGGGTGGAAATTGATTGTAAAGGAATTTTTACAGTTTCTTAAAAACAAACTTTATTAACATTACTTACAAGCCACTATTGATTGCATGCATCGGAGCGATACACATTCTCTCTCGTTCTGTATCTTTTGTCCCCACCTCTAGGAGCGTTAAACGTTTAACGCAACCTTATTGGAAGAAGCATAACAAGTTTCATTTCAATATTAACAATGTGGGTTAAAATAGTACTGTTATAGACCATAACATACAATTTTTTTGAAATGTAGTTCTAATTTATTGGCTATAAGTTATTCTGATGGCTGATCTTCATTATTGGAAAGTTTTTTCAAAATCCGTTCAGTAGATTTTACTTAAGGAACAACAACCCACAAACTATAACACACACACACACATATATATTGTTTTGTTTATTTTTCAGATATCTCTATTTGAGAGTATCAAACCTCTGTTCAGTAACAAGCCGTTGATAGTTGTGTTGAACAAAATGGATGTCATAAAACCTGAAGAATTGGCTCCCAACAAGAAGAAACTCATCGAAGACTTGGAGGCGAGATGTGCTAAAGATAATGTGGTCAAGTAAGTGACTAGATTATATATTTTAAATCTTTACTAGAATTCAAGTGTTACGTAACGCAATTTGGGGGGAGGGGGGGGGTCTCATAAAACGTAACGATGCGTTACAGAGGTGGGAGGGGGGTCAAAAATCTTTGAAAATTGCGTTATTTGCACGCTCCCTAACACGGAAGACTTTTATAACTTAATAATTTATCTAAAGGGCTTATTTAACTATCAAATATGTTACTAAAATATATAAATAGTCATATCATAGATTTGACTCTATAGTCATAGTATATAAAGGTTGTATGAAAAACTGTGTCAACCCTTGAAGGCATGTATACATATAAGTATAAGCTTATTATAAAAAATAGTATAACTTAAAAAATATCAAGCAGAGGTCAGTTACAGTGCATAGGCTAAGTAAGTTTTAAATCGACATTTATCGAAAATATGTTCCAAACATCTGACTCATACAAGGTCAAGACACCGTATAGTCGCTACGACGCATGCGTGACCATTGACCGCAGGCGACGGGCCGCCGGCGTTATTATTACTATTCTGTTAGTTGTCGAATAGAGATTTGAAAGTGTAAAAATTAGTTATATCGATAAATATTCTATCGACATTTTCAATATTGCTATAAATAGTTATGCTTTTCACATTAAAATAATTTCATTTAAAATAACTTTTATTATTAATAAATATTATAATTTGAAACTTGTTCAGGTAAATTATCTACATATGTTGTATTATTAGGATAAATCGTTAATCTATTTCTGTTAAAAATGGTGTTATACAATCAAACATAATATTAATGTTTGATATATCAAAATAAGTATCGAAATAATATGAATATTAAATATTTATTGTTATGATTTTTTAAATATCGATATTTTCAATAATGTGAAAGTAACTTCGAGTTCGTCACTAGTAGCGCAGCAGCTGTGATGACGTCATTGCGTGTCATCGTGTTATACCAGGGCTTACAAACATTTTGTTACTCTACATATAATAATCAATTAATATTTAATTTTATTATTTTTATTGAAGAGTTTGTAAATGTAAGTTGTTTTATTGTGTTACATTTTCGATACTGATAACGTAGTTAAGAGGGTTGACACAGTTTTTCATACACCCTGTATATTCTTTTGAGGACTATTCCTCAAAAGAATATATATACTGATTTTGAGAATATTAATCAATAAGAATTAAATAAGACCTCTTTTCGTTTGTCTATGAATCTAGTTTTGATTAACATATTTTTTTTTTCATTCCAGTGCTGACACAAATTCCGAGTTACGCACTGTACCTATAATGAGGATGTCAACGATGACCGAGGAAGGTGTTCAAGAGGTCAAGATAGAGGCCTGTGAGAGACTTCTGGGACACAGAGTGACTGAGAAGATGAGAACTAAGAAGGTACACTTGATAGAACATGTTAGAATAAATAGTTAGACCTGCGGAAACATTGTTTGAGTGTGACCAGTATAATAAGACCTCGAGTTCATATTAATTAATGGGACTATGATAATTTATTACATAGTTATAATTTATTAGATATTACTTGTTAATAAATGTCTATGTTATGTAATTTTATAAGACACCATATAATGTAGTTATAAAGACGATTTAACTAATTTACCCTATAAAGGATAGACTAAAATCAAATACATAAGATTATATATCATGCCGAAATATGTGAAATAACACTAAAATATATGACAATAGAGGCGATAATTGTATGATATATCATTTAATTAGTTACTAATATATATATGTTATAGGTGGATGGTATATTAAATCGTCTCCACGTGTCCATACCGGCGCCTCGCGATGGTCGAGCTCGACCACCGGTGTTACCTCCACAAGTGGTCGCTAAGAAACACAAACAACTACAGACAGAGACCAGGAAACGGAAATTGGAAAGAGAAATAGAAGTCGAGTTGGGAGATGATTATGTGCTCGGTAAGATTATGTTAATATGACTAAAGTATTGTTAAGTCAGTGATGGCCTAGTGGTTAAAAGGTCCACCTCTCATGCATTACGGCGCGGGTTCGATCCTGGCAAGTATCAGTGATTTTTCCGAGTCATATGTACTTTATAAGAGTATTTAGACATCACTGATTAATGCATTCCCAAAGAGGGTTGATGTCAAGCAGGCCGGTTGTAAAAACAATTAGCCAAAACTATTCGCAATATGTAAGACGGACCCTGGCTAAAGCTGGGAAATTGCCAGGTAGAAGAAGAAGATTGTTAATAGGGAAGATAAAATATTAGTATGGAGTTTCTATGAAGTTATATACAGGGTGACTGGTGAATTACTATCGATACTTGAGGACGTGATATTTGACGATCGTATATAACAAAATAAAAATTAATATAACATAAATATTAATAAACTTCTAAGTAAAGTTAACCAAAAGTTATGTAATTAATTACGCATCGTGTGAACACCCTACAGATTAGGTATACACACACACACACACACACTCGCGCGCGGCGGCGTGGTGTTGTATCAGCAGGCCGCCGCACGCGTCCACACTTGGAACGTGTCCACACTTTATTTATTTATACGGAAATTTGAACAAAAATTAAGTACCTATTTTTTTTACATAATTCGAATGAGAATCATGTACCGAGTATGCTCCTTAAATATTGATAGTAATTCACAATTCAGTCACCCTATATATGAGTTAAAAATAATCGTTACTTGGATATTATATGTATTATATTGTTGTTAGATACACATACTTGTTTATTCTTTGAGGTTTAGCAAGCATTCTTATATAATTACAGCTATATATATGTATATATTATCTATACAATGTTATAAAAGTCAAATAAATATTTAATTATTTTTTTCAGACCTCAAGAAGAATTACACGGATATTCCAGAAGAAGAACGTTATGATCCTATACCTGAGTTCTGGGAGGGACACAACATAGCTGATTATATTGATCCGGAGATATTTGAAGTAAATACAAATTATTATACACACATATATATGTATATACTAGCTGACCCGGCTAATGTTGTTTTGCCATATAAAAAGAGAGTTGCGTGATAAAACAGCAAAAAATTTCGTCCAATAATTTAAAAAAGTAACGGTTAATAACCCTTACGACTTAGGGGTATGAAAAATGGATGTTGCCCGATTCTCATACCTACTCAATATGCTCACAAAATTTCATGAGAATCGATTAAGCTGTTTCGGAGGAGTTCGGGAACCAACATCGTTACACGAGAATTTATATATATGTCTTCTGTTGTTACTCTAAAGAAAACTTTCAGTAAAATGGACCAAATAGTTTTCAAATTTAACATATATATGATTGTTTCAACAGAAATTGGCTCAGTTGGAGAAGGAAGAGGAGTTACGTGAACAGGGAGGCATGTATGAAGCTCCGAAGATAGAGTACGACGAGACTATGAGAGAGATCAGACAACTGGCGGTACAGATACGGTGAGTGGGGGCACGTGCGGGCTCTGGGGCGTGGGGTACTCTGTGACAAATAGATTGATATATCAAAGAACAAACACTGTTTCAGGAAAAACTAGTTTTGCCTAGGCTAACATAGTTAGTCCGATGGGATAAATTATTACATTTTTTTCTAATTTAGGAGTATTTTATTCAGTTTCTTTATTTATTTTGACTTTCTAGATATACTATAATGTTTAGACTATGTCATACCAGTTTGGCTCAGCCTAAATTAGTTTGGTATAACAGACATATACATAGAATAACTTATGTTAATAATTAATATAATGTTCATAGTTAATCTTTAAGCTTATATTTTAGTAATAAATATACATACATTGTATCATATATTGTTATATATCAATTTCAGCAACAAGAAGGCGGTTCTGAAGGATGAGTCTCGTCTGGTGAAACAATCAACTAAACCCGTGATGCCGAGGAACACGCGCGCCCGGGAGAAGACGCGCTCCACCAAGAGGCTGAGAGATGAGATGGAACAACTGGGTACGGACATACACACACACAGACAGACAGACACACAATACAAGATATAAAGATTACATGTAGTAGAGAGCAGTTTGACAAATAACAGTCGTCTGATATAAATTTATTATTACTATAATAATGATTGTTCATCAGGTGTGGACATGTCGGACACCAAGAGCGCCCACTTCACCCGCACCCGCTCCCGCTCCCGCTCCCGCTCGCTGTCCGCTCCGGCTGCGAAGAGAGTGAGGACCGACACCAGTGTGGCCACGACGCGCGACAAGCAGGGGGTCAAGGACCTGGCTGTGAGTTACACCTACATACATACGATACTATAAGGAGAGAGTGATTAGAAGGGGGGAAATAGTTCTGAAAGAATATTTTCATAATTAAGATTCGTTCGTCACTCCCGATCACACTTTTCGTAACGCTTTCGTTACGCATTCACCAGCTTACTCCCGAGTCAAGCGTGCGTAAAGAAGTTTTAATACAGTTGTTTAGTCTAAAGTACACTGGTTTATCTTTTTATAACTCTTACCTGTTTGTATATATCGATGGGTCCTATATATAAGGGCCAATGTAGCAATTAATAGCTATTTTCATTTTTTTAAACACTTCATAATACTGTATTCTACTACATCATCCATTTAAAATGCGTATTTGTTGGTGGAAAGACGTGTATGTACTGTGATTAAAATTATTATAAAAATTAACCAAATAATATGTTTTAACAGATGCAAAAGAAGGCGAAGAACATGGCTCACGTCGCGATTGCCAAGAAAACTAAGAAGATGGGTCTTAAGGGTGAAGCTGACCGGTTCATAGGAACAAAGAAACCTAAACACTTGTTCGCTGGCAAGAGAGGAGTGGGCAAGACGGACAGACGGTAGACGAGGGGTCAATGACACTTACTGTGGCGGAAAAAGTTCATACAAGATAAATAATACGACCTTTTTAGTCTTATACATGTGCTTGAAAACTTATTGATACAACAACTGATTTATTTAAAGTATTGAAATACATAACTGTATGACGTTTTATGAATAAAATTTTGTGAAAATGTATTTGGTGTTTTTTATTGCAATTTATATGTATTAATTTCACTGCTAGAGCTCCTTGTGTTTTAATTCATCTCAGTAATTTCAGATGTGCTTACCACTGGCGTGCATACCATAAATGCTAATAAGCCCTGCATACCCTACCCATATAACAACTAAACCTATATTGTTTAATTCTTACTTACATACTTTTAATCATAATTCATACATTACATACGGAATACAAATGTTAATAGTCATTTAAAATACATTATTTGATTCATGATTTGCTAATAAGTGCCATCTATCAATGTAAAAACATAACATTTTCGATTGGCCGCTGCTAACTGCTAGCGGCGATATGCACAACCTCACTGCTTATTTTCCATACAAAAATTCTCAAGGTGTTTCTGTTTCATCTAAGATGTCGGTCTGCATAAATGATTTTCTATATCTATAGATATGTAGTTTTACTTGAAAGGTCCATAGTCCAGACAAAATAGACAAAAATAAGTCATAACTTAGCCAAAATTCACAAATCTGAAAATTGCCAGAGACGTTAAATACATAATTATAAATGAAATATCAAAAATGCCCTTCGATTCTACTTCTGCAAAAAAAATTCAAGGTCAAAAGTATAAAATTAAGGATTTTTCCATTTTTCTCGAAAACAATAATTATTATCGTAAAAATAGATCTGACAAAAGTTGTAGATCATACAATTCTCTACAAAAATGGTCTAGTCACTTTTTCTTTTACCATTTGTGAGATATCACGCTTTTAATAATTAGAAAATTCATATTTTACATAATATGCACTAAAATGCAGCTTGTATTCGTCACCGGACGTTCAATATAATGAAAATAAGATACTATTCGTCTATGTTACTTGCACAATAAAACTTGTATAAATTAAATGAATATTTTAAAATATAACACTATACTGTCAGTCCCTAATTCCCTTCATCGGTTGAAGGATCTGATTTATCGAAGATCATAGTAAGACTTGGAGGTTTTCATTTACTCATGTCTTTTTTTGGAGCGATTGGATATATAATGCAAAGAAGTGGTATAAAAGAAGTACTTTCTCTGATCTATGTACCTAATTCATTAGAAAAAATGCTCAATGGTCATGCTTACGCGGAAGCTGTTCGAGCTCATACCTTGCTACATCTTACTTTAGCAACAATAATATCCAAAGAGCTTGTTCTCGATAGTGAGAGGGATGAAAACCTTACAAATACAATTGAACTTATAATAAATAAAACTATTTCCTACAATGATATTGAACAAGGCGATGAAATAGCTGAAGCATTACTTTATCAGTTTAATGTAAAACTATAGGAGCACGGAGACGAGGACCTACAGCAAAACTATGGATACAATATTTTCATATGGTGTCTTTTGAAAGGGAATGCATAAGAGCTGAACGTATGGGTGATTGGCGAGCTCATTTGAATTGCGTTAAACAAATGCTTCCTATGTTTATGCGTCAGGACATTTTAATTATGCTTAATCTGCGCATTTATATCTACAAGATATGATGCAATTAGTGAACTTGATGGATCCTAGTGTTTATCATATGTTTATTGAAGGATTTTTCACTATTAGACGTTCTGATAAACTAAATTGTGGAACTTCGACGGATATGGTGATTGAACAATCAATGATGAAGTGTATGAAAACAGATGGAGGTGTTGCTCGAGAGAGAAGTACGCAAGAAAGAGTCATTAGACGAAGAAATAATTGTTAAAGTAGAAATATTATAGACAATTATTTTATATAATGACGACATGTAGAAATAAATATAGGTAAAAAAACTTTTTAAGTAAAACGGTTTTACGTGAAATATACATTGCAATGTTTAAGATAAATGTACTAAAAACCAAAAAATAATAAAATAGATACAGTCGTGGGAATTTTAAACATATGCACAGACTAGACTAAAATAAAAGCGTGGGGCACGTCAATTGTCTACAAATTATCGACTTAATGTGCGATAGAAGAATCGTTTAATTCGTCGTTAGGCAGTTGGCCCGCAGACGGTAAGAAAATTACTTACTATTTTCTTGCTTATGGAAATTACAAATTATAGTGTAACATTACAAAACAAGCATTTTAATCAACGATCTATTTTATTATTTTTTGTTTTTAGTACATTTATCTTAAAAATTACAATGTATGTTTCACGTAAAACCGTTTAACTTAAAAAGTTTTTTTACCTACTTTTATTTTCTAGTTTTTAGTTTTTATTTCGCATTCTGTTTAATTAATTTGTGCTTCATTATTGCAAGGGGTCTTGCCCGTTAGTTTATTGCAGTCCAACTCCTTTAAAAAATTGTTATCAGCCATTTGGTAGCGGCGGCCATCTTAAATTTCAATTTAGCATAGTAAATTGTATTCTACTTGGTGAGACCTTTCATTTGATACCCATGTTGATGGGATTGATAAAACCTAAGCTATCGGCTATTTTGTAGAGGCCGCCATCTTGGATTTAAATTTTTTATAGTACATTGTATTCTACTGGTTGAGCACTTTTAATTGATACCCATATTGATGGGATTGGTAAAACATAAATTATCCGCCATTTTGTAGCGGCGCCCATCTTGAATTTATAATGAATAAACATAATTGTATTGTCACCAAAATCCAAAGTGTATTCAAAATTTCAGATTAATCGGTTGACAGGAAGAGGGTGAAATTTGAATTACTAAATTTGACCCAAGAAAAATGAAAAAAAAAGAATAAAGAATAAATAAAACAAACAGGTGAGCTAAATAAAACCGTTTAAAAAACAATCTATTCCACTTTAATCATTAGCAATATTACTATTCTTTCAATTAATAGGATACTATCTGATCAAACTTTCTTTATTACAATAGATCGTGGAGTATTACCTACTGGGAAAACCACGTTAAAAAAAATGCGCCGAGTACATTACCTCATAGGTGGTGCGGAAATGTGTGCTATTATGTAAAATATGAATTTTCTAATGATTAAAACTGGGATATCTTATGAATGGTGAGTCGTAAGAGAAAAAATTACTGGACCATTTTTGTAGAGAATTATATAATCTACAACTTTTGTCTGACCTATTTTCACGATAATACTTACTGTTTTCGAGAAAAATAGAAAAACCCTTAATTTTATACTGTTGACCTTGAATATTTTTTTTTGCAGAAGTAGGATCGAAGGGGATTTTTGATATTTCATTTATAATGATGTATTTAACGTCTCTGGCAATTTTCAGCTCTATGTGAATTTTGGCTAAGTTATTTGTCTATTTTGACTGAACTACCAGGGGCATTGGGTTATTCAACGCACAAATTAGGAAAAAAACAAATACATTGTTTGGTTAAATTATGTCCCTTGAGAAAATTTTTAATCATTAAATTGAAAGAAGCAATGTTATTTCATTACTAAAACATCACAACAAATTGATTCTTGTCTTCTCAAATTACAATTTAGCAAGATACAGTTTTTTAACAGATGATATTAAGAGCCATATATTGTATTATACTTGGCAATTGAGAGCTTCCATCCAATGTTTCAATCTCAGATTTACATACATTTCTTATACATAAGAAAAAGTTGTGAATTCTTTAGTTGTATCAATAATCATAAATTAATTATCATTGATGTAATATAAAAGTTGGAATCAATATATTTTGTACCTAACTATTCCGTTTTACTGTGACACTTGATCCTTCAAGATATCATTATATGTATTGTTTAAGATAGTATGAACGCGATGTACCCGGTCGAGGTGAAAGTTTGAATGAAACACATAATTAGCAAAATGAATGGCACATTTATATTTAATTAATATTATTCATTTTTATAATAAGAGCTTTCATGTAACTATCTGAACAGAACAACTCTATACAGCGGCAGGGCTGCCAGACTAAACAACAAAAAAAAAAAAAGAAAATCGCAAAGAAAAAGCCTCATTTTGTACACAATCTCCAGGATTGATGACACACAGACAGAAACTATATATAAAGAGAAGATAACTTATAATAAACACTAAATGGAAGAATCAAATGAACTAAGCGAAACGATTACGTGTCTTAAAACTACACATACGATACTAAAAAAATATTTTTGAACTTTCTCGCATAAGATCCCCCCGAGCCCGACTCGGGCGCCATCTTGTCCGCCATGTTGGCCGCCATCTTGGCATCCGTCGAATCAACCTTAACCTATATGATACAGAGTTCACATCGACTGGCGATCATGTACTATACATAGTCTGGGACTACTTGAGTACACTCGCAGTCGACTACACACAAATAAACCTAGGCTACAAGCACTGTCATGAATTAAAGCGAATCATTAAAAAATAATTTATCATACACAATCATGGAAAAGGAAACGCGACTAAAACATAACCGACGTATTGAGCGACCACGTATACTATTTACAAGGCTGCGGGCAGACACAGCGCGCATATATACATGTACATTATAAAATATATATATAGTGACGTTACATCTGATTTAAATCCATTGAATGCAAAGTCCACTGCGATCAACTCCGATACAATAGATCCATCGCAGAGATCTTTACATTTAAGTACACCAATAATATTGTATAATAAAATACGCAAAAAGCGTAAAAAAAAATCATAAAAATAATAATAAAAAAATAAATCACTGGAGTTTGGATACAAAAACTTATAAAATCTTAAGTACACACTTAAGTTATCCACCATTTTATAATACATGGCAATCTCTCCCCAGAAATTTCATTTTACAACAGACGCTATTTTTGCCTTTATTACTAACGAGCTTACTGTATGTATATAGAGTAACGGGCGAGTAATAAAAGTCAAAACAGCATAAAACATTCTCACAAACGAATACCTAACGAGTAACGTAATCCGAAGTCCACTATTTATTGTCAAGCGTAAACCGGGGACACGGAAATAATAAAAAAATATATAATAAACAAAATGGCGGGAGCGGTGTTGCCACACGAAATCAATGGACTCCGGATCTTAACCTACGCTTATGGCAGCGACAAAAAAAAAAAGAAAACTATTTTAAAATCGGTAATTAAAAATATCTTTTTTTGTCAATATATTTATCGATTAATCTAGGCCACCTATATATAATCTAGGCTATTATACAATCTGGATATCCCACCGTCGGGTGACGTCACACCTCGTTTATAAAACTAATATATTTTTACACTGTTAACTAATCGTGTCCATCGCACCACTCACACTCTTTGGATGACCGCCACGTGTGTGTATGTATGTGTGTTACAACACTCATCAACACTACTGATGCTCACTGGAGCTGTTTACAATGATTGTGGTCGAGTCAACGTGGAGAATAATAAGTGAAGATAATGTAAAGGAAAGTACATACATAGATATAGATAAGTTATTATATATAATATATATATCGTGACAGACAGACAATCATTATAACCAGTTCCAAGTGATATAACTATTCTATGTATGTCCGTATTGCCTGTATTATGTCACACACTCTCAGTTCCGGCCGAGGTGTGTGTGTGTGTGTCTATGTTCGTGTGTGTGTGTGCGTGTGTCTAGCGCGTCGCGCGCGGGCGTCGCTATTGCGGCGGCGCGGGCGGTGGGGCTCCTCCCATGCCCTGTAATAGAATATATATTTTAGTACTATAATAATAGAGTGTATTTCACATTATCCAGCGTGTGTGTGCATGTTTGTGTGTGTGTGTGTGTGCGTGTGTGTATGCGTGTGTGTGTGTGTGTGTACCGTAACAGGCTGGTAGTGGTGTATGGGCGCCGCCAACAGTTTGGGCGCGTCCTCCGCCTTCTCCTCCTCCCTCCTCTTGAGACACGCCGCCTTAGGGTTTAGATTGCGTTCTGAAAACACAGACAGACACGCGTTAACATAACTTGTCCACACAAATACATACAATTTAAATATATACCGAGAATAATATCCACTTTATTAATGCTTATGTATAAATACGATATGTATGACAAAATATATATTCTATTACAGTATCTACCTGTTTATAACGACTGCCCTACAAAATGAATAGACCGATTCTGATGGTACTTTCAATGATAGATAGATCTCTGCAGATAGTTGAATGACTTGGGTAATTTATTATACAAATTAAATTTTTACTTATATATAACAACACTAGTTTCGCCCGCGTGGAGTTCGGTTATATCGCGTTTCCAAGAGAACCTTTCAAAAGTCTGGGATAAAAACTATCCTATGTTCTTTCTCAAGGTCAACTCTATATGGACCAAATTTCATTAAAATCACTTCAGTGGTTTAGGCGTGAAAGCGTAAAAGACTGACAGAGTTACTTTCGCATTTATAATATTAGTAGGGATGTCGTCGTATATATATGTTATTGTTATTAACCTCTGACTTGCTGCTCCAGCGTCATAATAACTTCTACAGCCATATTCAATATGCCCAACTTGGTCTGCGGCTTGTCACTCTTGAGGTGCGTCATACACATGCGGCCCAGCTCCTTCAACGCTTCGTTGATGTCCCTTATACGTATCCTGGAACACACAAACACACATACAATATAACAGAATATACGATACACTTATAATATAGTTATACTATGTATATATTGGGTCACAGTATTCAATAATATCTTTATATAATATATGTGTTTGTATAATAATCATCATGCGTTCGAAACTAAGTACTAATATCTTGTCATGTCAGTCATGTGTGACGCTCCTCGAGTGTATTGGTATGTGTGTGTGTGTATGTGTGCGTGTATGTGTGTGTGTCACAGCCCACTCACCGCTCCCTCGCGTTGTTGGCCTGCCGCCTCTCCTTCTCCCTCACCGCCTTCGCCTCGGGGTCCATATCGTCCTCGTCAGCTGACGAACAACTATTCGCAATTTGGACCTTAACTACCATCACTTAGAGTTCACATACTGACCGTTCTCACTCAATACACCGACCGTCTATCTGTGAGTTGTGACGTCACAGGCATCTCCGCGTGATCGAACATACTCACACGAGGCGGCGCGCGAGAGAGGAGTCACCTGTATGAACTTAATGTAGGAAGACAAGCACGATACACAGACATGCACGATACATACAGATGAAAGAGAACACGACCTCTCACTCGCACTTAATAATACATATATATATATAGCCGTCTCCCTCACACACAAAGTAATTAGTCCCCGTTGTAGTTAGACAACGACTAGGAACATTGTAGTAATAACACATTGACCTCCCGCGACCTGTGACACATACATATATATACTGTGACCCAATATTAATGGTGAGAAAGCTGTGGAACAATGTTAGTAATGTTACATGAGTTAATGATGAATTGATTATGCTATGTGTGAGTGCGTGTGTGTTTGTACGTGTTATGTGTGTGTTTGTAGGCTCACAAACACTTGTTAATATTCATGTCTACCGTCAGCTGTATGTGTGAGTATAGTTTAGAAGCGTTTACACAGAGAAACATATAGCTCCCGGTTACTATTTGTGTGACTGTCTGTATGCGTGTGTGAGTATGTAGGTGTGTGTCTGTGTGTGTGTGTGTGTGTGTATGTGTGCGCGTGTATGTCCGTACCGCTCCCGCACGTTGTTGGCCTGCCTCCTCTCTCTCTCGCGCGCGGCCTTGGCGTCCGGGTCGAGCTCGTCTTCATCAGCGGACGAGCAGCTGTTCACACTTGGACACGGAACGAACGTTATACACACAGATAGACAGACGGCCGAGACCACTACTCACTACTGCTACCGAATATATATTAACAAACATCCCTTGAATATAATAAATAAACAAATAGACAAACTTTTTTATGTATGAGTTATTTATAGCATGTCACAATAGGGATGGAATGTATCGATAACTTGATAAGTAGTCCAAGATCCCAGGACTATTGTTTGACTGATGAAATGTGGACTATTGAGTAGTGTTAGTATGTACTATGATAGTATAGCTAACTGCTAGCTTTGTAAAACGGCCAATTTCCACGTATCAAGGTGATCAAGGTACATAAAAACCTTACTTCACATATTTTCTCATGGCTGATTTTTATATATGTTATAAAATGTATAATCCAAATTAGTTGGCAATACTGACAAACACTTTCCTACGTCTATATTGCTTGGCAGACGCTTTAAAGCTCTCAAAATATGTAACTAGTTAACTTCAATTATGATGCTCCATTTATATAATATGTTCACCCGACAATTACTTTAAAACCTTTGACAAGAAGGTAGACCGAAGCTCACTTTTACAATATGGTAAGTTACTGACATCGAATTTTATTAGATACTTTCGATCATAGTACATACTCTCCTACCTAGCAATTTAGCCAGGATCTGCCTTATATGTTGTGAATGTTTTTAGCTAATTATTTTACCGGCCGCCCTGACATTAACCCTCTTTAGGAATGCATTAATCCACTGATTTAGACAACACTATGTCTAAATACTCTTAGAAAGTACATATGACTCGGAAAAATCACATTGGCTCACAATCACTTGCCAGGATCGAACCCGCGCTCTCATGCATAAGGCGTGTCTTTTAACCACTAGGCCACCACTGACCATCATAGTACATACTAACACTACTCGATAGTCCTGGTATCTTGGTGTATGAGTGTATTTTATTTATCATGACGTCACTACTCACTATCTCCTAGACCTCTTCCCGCCCGGCGGCTTGCTGAGAGCGTCCGACCCTGACGAAGAAGGCTTTGAGTCCAACCCGGAGTCTGGAGGCTCTTTACGCTTCTCTGTAATAATTATATATAATAATAAGTTCAGGGTAACGAACAACATGCGGGTTAAAACTTAACATTTAAACTTTGATTGCGATTATTATAAAAAATAGAGAAATTCACGGATAATAAATAAAATTGCAAGTTTATTTTTTCATAATGAACAATATATAGTCGGGGATAGTGAAAATCCGCGTAACTAGCATTGGAAGCAGATTATCAGAAGAAAGTTTGAAATGAAATATTTTCTATATTAACGACTTTTAAGGGAATTTTATCACAATTATTAACTATTTAATCTTTAATTACGCGGAATTATCTAATGGTAGTTACGCGGATTTGCACTATCCCCGACGATATATTTGATCATGTCTAATAGAATCATGTTTCCTTAATAACCAAGTCATGTGTCAAAGTAACAGTATAAACTCAATACTGACTAGTATTCGCCATGAGATGCCTCTCCATCTTGACGGGCGGCTCGTGGAGGTGTGACAACGCGCCCACGCGACTTACCGCGCCTGGAAAAGATCAGGGTAATATATGACAAGGGGTAATTCATGACGTATATTAATAGTAGTAGTCAATGAATGTGATCTATTATTTTGTATTGGCATTAGCCTATTAGAGCCCACTGCTGGGCTGCCTCTTCTCACATTGAGAAGGTTGACGATTTCAAACTTATAATTTGATATTATAAGTACAGATTTCCTCACGATGTTTTCCTTTACCGATAATCAGTGGTGTCTACAGCTCTTTAGAAAGTACATATGACTCGGAAAAATCACATTGGTACTTGCCAGGTTTCGAACCCGCGCAGTCATGTATGAGAAGCCTTTAACCATTAGGCCACCACGACTTAGCGAATTAATATTATCTATTATATATATATATATATATATATATATATATATATAATCCGTGTCATACCAGGCGGCTGCACGTGGTGATCCTGCGGGTACATGTCGGGCGCCTCCGCGTGGTTCCTTAACACATTGATTGCATCGTCCAGACGCTCCTCCATACGGGCGCCCTGTTACACGTATATAATATAACAAACATATAATAAGACAGGCTTAATATTACCCTCAAAGTCAATATAATTTCAGAATATTTTAAGAATTAATCGTTTCTTATTATGTTTAATGTTTCATAATATTTAAATGTTAAAAGCTGTGTATAAAAATTTAAAGCTTCATGCCTGTCGCTACACTGCTAAGTTTATGTACAAGTATTCTAACACACGTAGCGTTATACGGAAAACAATAAAAAAAACTCACTAAAACCATGCTGACACAAAATTTCGATAATAATTTGTAATAAAAGAATTAGAAATCTACTTTTTATATCTAGATGATATGTGATGTGTGATATTATGGTGGGGTAACCGAGGTATACACATGTTATTACTTACCCCGACGTCTGAATGCTCTCTCAGGAACACCATGGCCTCGTCTAGCTGTCGTTGTTCAGCGGGCGCGCCCTGTTACCCGTTACCCGTTACCCGTGAGATTAGCGCGGGAGCTAACAGCCTTGTTACATTTTACCCCCCAATATTTTTTGTTATATTACATATGTATCCCCCTCTTAGATAATTCAAGTAAAATTTTCTAAATACTCATAGAACTACAGTAATACCCCGCTTTACGCGAGGGATACGTTCCGAAGAAAATCGCGTTAACTGAAATCCGCGTACATCGAAGTTTATGATTAAACACAGTCAAAATTTAATACACAAATATAAAAATCATTTTAATCAATCACTTTAATTCTAAGAACACTATACAATACATAGGTACTCCTATTATTTACTAAAAATACATGTATTGTCTTTTGGGTAGCGTTTTGTTTACGTTCTTGTAAAATACGTTCATAACACCAAACACTGTTTTTAATCGTTCGACACACGTTCAAGACACGGTCATCATTATTGTCTATACTCTGCAATGTCCCAACCTGAATATATTTTTGAAAAGCGCGTTATAGTGAAACCGCGCATAAGGGGGTCGCGTTAAGCGGGGTATTACTGTATATAACTAAGTAATAAGTCTATTTATACTAACTACAATACTATACAACTACATTGAACTCGAATCAAAACAACTGGCGATTAGCTCCACGCTTACTAATTAAATATACAACGAAAAACACAAAGAAAAGAGAAAAAAATACATTAACAAATAACGTTTGACGAACATCTTTAAATAATTTATATGTATCGTCAAACATTTTTTGTTATATATAACAAAAAAATTTAATAAAATCAGGAAAAAGCTCAAATTATCTATATATGTATATTAAAAATGTCGATCCCGATGTTAATTGATCGGAATGAACATTTTTGTACTGATAGAAATTATGTACCAACAGTTAGTTACAAGCATGCGTTCTCATGCCAAGAAGAAAACAAAATCTCTGTTGCTATATACATGACTAGGAATCGTTTATTTTGCTACTTTTTAAGGAATTTATAATAATTTATTACTTTTTTTGTGTCTAAAATTGGTCACTACTCAGATATTGAAAGTTTATCATCAAAATTCCTTAAAACGTAGTGGATAGAGACCAGGTACGTCTAGTAGACCACGGATAGACCTAGTAGACATCGAGTAGACCTAGTAGACCGCGAGTAGACCTAGCAGATTTTACCATAACAGGTGGGAACACGACGTGCTGGTGTCCGTTGGGGAGTACAGCACTCGTGAGGGGCGCGTGTGGCGTTGCCGCTGTCGGTGGAGATGATACACCCGTTGATACCCAGTTCGCTTGCTGGAAATAACATATATATACTGTTAATAACATTATAATATTATTACATTTGTTAAAAAATAAACGAACATCGCCGGGCAACATAATATATATCATATAACGAGTGACGCTGCTGACTCCGCGGAATAACAAGCCGTGTGAACCAGTAGATTAGGGATACCACACAAGCTATGGAATGGTATTGCTATCCTAACATCGGGACAATTATGTAGTCTTAGGTGTAGGTTATAAGTTTTAATATGTAATTCCTATTATAGACGTATAACTTCTCATCATTCCATGTATTCACGGTGCGTGTGTCGGGTCCATCGTTGTAGTGAGAGGAGCTTCGACAGTGACTGGGACTTGTGACCCAGGTGTAGGTTTAAGGGATCCTATCTAACCTAACAAAATTTTTAAAGAACCTACTAGGACTGCCTTCGAAGTACATTCCAAGATTGAATTCATATTAGTTTTTGACAGGACAAGTCTTTTTTATTATTATTATCTTATTTTAAGTAAGTTTCCTAGTTTCCTCGAACCTCAGGTTGCCACCCTATATAATCCCTACAAATATTATAAATGCGAAAATAACTCTGTCTGTCTGTCTGTCTGTTACGCTTTCACGCCTAAACCACTGAACTGATTTTAATAAAATTTGGTACAGATGTAGAGTTGACCTAGAGTAAGAGCATAGGATAGTTTTTATCCCAAACTTTTGAAAGGTTCTCTTGGAAACACGATATAACCGAACTCCACGCGGACGAAGCTGTTGGCGGAAAGCTAGTTCATTATATTTATCAAATAACTATCATCTTATACAGGTGTAATATACTCGACATGATCTTGTACGGTAATCTTGTAGTCTAAGAGCTGATCTTCTACAGTATAGTCTAAGAGCTGTTCTTGTACGGTATAGTCTGAGAGCTGACCTGTCCGTTATGGTGGTGATGATGGTGTGGCGAGTGCTTCATGGGGTACAGCCTCGCGTGTAGCGGGGGCGGCGAGTGGACCGGCGTGGAGGGGGACGAGTACGACGACAGGCTGCCGGCACCCGCGGGCCCCGGGGCTCCGCCCTCGCCGGGGGCTGACGGGGTGGTCGCCGACCCCGCGTACATCTACACACAGTGGACACGTTACACGCTATCCTACTTATATTATAATTGCGAAAGTTTGTGAGTGTGAGTGTATGTTTGTTACTTCTTGACGGTCAAACGGCTGAAGAGATTTTGATAAAATTTTGTATACAGCAAGCTGACGTCCAGGAATAACACATAGGCTACTTTACATCCCGGAAATCCAGGAAATCCGTGGGTAACACCGCGGGACGCAGCTAGTTATATATAATTTCTTGCAGTTTCAGGGGACTATTGTGATCATATCAGAAGCGTAACAAGCCTTTGATGACGTCACAAAAAATTCGATAAATTCTCTATTTCAAAAGTTGATGATATCTTTTCTTTTAATAGTATTCAAGTCGGAGTCTAGAAAATAATATAGTTTCATAAGGATAACATGATAACGAAACCGATCTAATTATTTGATATTTTCTTTCTAATTATCCACTCAACTTGCTCTTATAAAGTTGATTAAAATTTTGAATATAATTATATGTATTTTCTCTGTCATAATCTCACCGGTTGCATGGGAGGCTTGGCGACTATCATGGGGTCACTTGGTGAGTGTACGGGAGCGGCGGCGCGGAACGATGACATGGGAGGCAGAGGCAGCTCCGCACCACCGGCCGACGGGTCCGTGGCCGCGCCTGATATACCTGGAAATATAATGAACAGGATTACTTCTTCTTCTTCTACCTGGCAATTTCCCAGCTTTAGCCAGTCTGCCTTACATGTTGTGAATAGTTTTGGCTAATTGTTTTCGCGGCCGCCTGTTTAACATCAACCCTCTTTGGGAATGCATTAATCAGTGATGTCTAAATAATCTTAGAAACCATTGATTACTAGTTGTCTTATATATGGAGTAGACTTGGGAATTATATAATATTCATATCGAGTAGATGGCGATAGTATATATAGGTAGTCCATAGTTTTGTGATATGTTAACAAAACTTCTTTACGCACTTGACTTGGGTGTATGCTGGTGAATGCGTAACGTAAGCGTTACGAAAAGTGTGATCGGGGGAGACGAACGAAAGTGAGAAGGATATATAAGTTAGTGATGATAGATAGAGAGAGTGTTACGGTTTGTATATTACTGTAGGGGCAAGGGAGATCAGTGGGTGCGTATATTTTTCTCGCTTCCTTCATTAGCCAGTGTATGAAATACATATTATATACATTTTTTTTCTGATGACGCAGGGAAACTCTTTTTACGAGCCGTCCAACCGGCGTTGGTGGGGCCGGAAGGGATGTGTGAGGCTGGGCCTGGGCAGGCCCCTACTCACTAAAACCACTGCGAAAGCCATCGACCGCTATGTCGGTGTACCCCGGATCTGTCAGCGACAGGGCACACCAGCGACTCCCCGGTCCTATTATATATATATAAGCGTAACGTGTGTTATTTTTAATGATATGTCGTATACTACATACCCGGCGACGTAGCGTACGGATCATGATGGTAGGGCGGCGGTGGCTGGTAGTACCCCGCGGACCACTCTCCGTAGTAGGGCTCCTGGTACCCCGCGCTGGCGCCCGCGCCCTTGGGGGACGCGTACCTGGAGGGGGAATCGTGACCGAACTCATCGCTGCCGTACTGGAAATAGAATAAAAGAAATACATTTAATTACGATTATAATAAATTTTATATAAGGTAAAATCTATATATGAAAAAATTTAAGTGACATATGTATGTATTACGGTGATTTTCTTTAACCGACTTCGAGAGACTATTGTAATCGATATTATAATTACATATTTAATATCTCAAGTATTTATACATATATTTTCTTTATTAAATAATGTATTTTTTTATATATAATTTTACATGTTACATAAGTATATTTAAAATGAAATCATGAAAATTAAATGCCACTATAATGAATTAATTATTTCAAGAAATTTTTGTATTTTTCATACATATTTAATTAATCAAATTGTGATGAATTATTTCTTTATTAAGTTGAACTAAAGCAATTAAAGTAAAAATCATAATTTAAATTTCTTTTATTATATTTTTGTATATAAAACAATTTAAAACACTTTCTTTCGCGACCGTAGCGAATGATGATAGTTTAAAACAATTTTATAATCGTCGTCATTATAACATACGCCCACTTATTTTTGACTAGTTCATGCCCGCGACTTGGTCCGACTTGTTTGTTATAAAAACAGAGCTTATAATAAATGTTTGTCTGTTAAAACTGTAATAAATTTAATAACTTTGTATGCCAGCAAGTTATATATATGTGGTCAATTATCAATAATTCTGAGTTAATTGTTGTAAGTGGAACAAATTATCGTAGGTACGTTTATTCTGACAAAACTTATAACTTAATAACCCAAATTAGGAAACTGTGTTTTAACTTTTAACTACAATATTAAACTGATATATATAATAACGAAGACAATAATTTTGATTATGTATGTATATGTGCTCTGTCGAGTGGTGGCATAGTGGTTAAAAGGCCCGCCTCTCGTACACGAGGGCGCGGGTTTGATCCTGGCCCGGGCAAGTACCAATGTGATTTTTCCGAGTCATATGTACTTTCTAGGAGTATTTAGACATCACTGAATAATGCATTCCCAAAGAGGGTTGATGTCAGGCAGGCGGCCGCGAAAACAATTAGCCAAAACTATTCACAACATTTAAGGCAGAACCTGGCTAAAGCTGGGAAATTGTCAGGTCGAAAAAGATTTGCTCTGTCGAGAGATAACCTTTGACCTCAATATATAACCAGCTTGTTCTAACTTATCAATAATATAGTTTGTAATATCTGTTGAATATCAAGACTTCTACACTTCTACAATACTTCTATGAAACCTACCGCTGATAACAATAGTTACAATTACTACAACATTGTATACTAGATATATATCACAAAACAATGAACATTTTCATTGGTAGCTTTAAAATGAAGTATGTATGTATGTTTGCAACATTACGAAAAAACTACTAAACTTTATTCTATACAACATAATTTTATACAAGAAAATTATACATTTAAAGATTATAGAATATCAGGAAAGTTCACGCGTTTAATACAAATCGTATAATAATACATATATATGTATGTATGTATGTATGTATGTATGTATGTATATATATCCCGGTCAATCTCCTAAACGGCAACGTTCCGTACAAGGCCCGGCGATATTGGTCAGTTACGCGACAAACCTCTAATTGTTGCATACACTACCGACCAATGGAACTATACATCCATGTGTAAGATATACCTACTAATATTATAAATGCAAAAGTAACTCTGTTTGTCTGTTACGCTTTCACGCCTAAACCAATGAACTAATTTTAATGAAATTTGGTACAGAGATAGAGTTGACCTTGAGAAAGTATATAGGATAGTTTTTATCCCAGACTTTTGAAAGGTACTCTTGGAAACGCCATATAACTGATCTCCACGCGGGTGAAGCTGCCGGCGGAAAGCTAGTAATATTATATGTGGAACATTTTTCATTTAATTTGGAAAGATATTTTGATCTATTATAAAAGCAATTAAATAATAATTAAAAAGTCGCGCCAACTTGAAATACAACCGAAAGTAGAGCCATTGATAGTTTCTTAACACCACTATCCTTTAGTGAAATTTAAAAATTACTTAAATTGCTTTAACATCTATATTGGTAATATAATAATAATTAGGTATACTTAACACACATATTTATTTAAAGAAATATATATTAAAAAATACACACTAAAATATATATATTGTAACCAGTTCTTTTGTCCCCAAGTGTAGTAACAGCAAGTATTAGGCCTCGGCCTCGAATCTCGCGGGTAGCGGGGCGGCAGCGGCGGCGGCACGAAAACGCATACATTTCTCCGTGCCCGTTGCCCGCTATTTTGGAGAATAGTATGCGTTTTCGTGCCGCCGCCGCTGCCGCCCCGCTACCCGCGAGATTCGAGGCCGAGGCCTTAGTGTATCATTGTTCGCTGTATATGGATAAGAATTACGTCTTAGCCATATTTTGCTATGTTTCGTTAAATTCATTACATATATATATACTTACAAACTATTATAAGGAACAGATATATATAACATATAATATACATTTCATTGTTATACAGTTGACTGGTGAATTACTATCAATATTTAAGGAGAATACTCGGTACATGATTCTCATTCGAATTATGTAAAAAAAATAGGTACTTAATTTTTGACAAAATTTCCGTATAAATAAATAAAGTGTTGACACGTTCCAAGTGTTCCAAGTGTGGACGCGTGCGGCGGCGTGGTGTTGTATCAGTGTGTGTGTGTGTGTGTGTGTGTGTGTGTATACCTAATCTGTAGGGTGTTCACACAATGCGTAATTAATTACATAACTTTTGGTTAACTTTACTTAGAAGTTTATTAATATTTATGTTATATTAATTTTTATTTTGTCATATATGATCGTCAAATATCACGTCCTCAAGTATCGATAGTAATTGACCAGTCACCCTGTATATATAGAGTTGAAGATATTATATGTTTTATATAAGGAAACATATAATGTTTTAGTCTTAATATATAATTTAACCTAAATAATATGTATGTTTGTTCGTCTTGAACTCATCGCTCTCATTAAATATAACAATAGATCGTGACTCAGTGCGGGCGGAGTTTAACGAATATATGAGATATATTACTTTGGAATAACTTCCATCATAATATATATTATTATATATGTTAGTTATTAATATAGAAATGACAGACGGTGAAGGAAAACATAGTGAGGAAAGCTGGACTTATAATATCAAATTATAAGTTTGAAATCACCTACCCGTCTTGAGCAAGCGTGGTGATTAATGCTCTAACCTTCTCCATGTGAGAAGAGGCTCAGCAGTGGACTCTGATAGGCTGATGATGATAATGACGATGAAATTCGATAATATTTTCACATACGTATCCTTGCTACAAGTTTGAATCGACACTACATACATAATATTTATTTCATTTAAATATATTCGTATTGTATTAAAGTAGGTAGTTTTTTAAAGGTAAAACTGGAAAACGTAACTAGTATAATAATCACGCAAGCTTTGGTAAGCATTCATATCAGTGTAACTTTTACGATTTAAATATATACGAGTCTATAAATTATTAGTAAGTGATATCAAAATTAAAACCACTCAACCAATTTTCATGTAACTATACATCTTAATATTTATGTGATTAAGAAAAAAATAGATTATGAGTCAAAAAATCACTAACAAGTAACATCACCCCGGGCAACAGGAAGTCAAATAAAAGTCTAAAATCATATTTGAAATGCTCAAGTGTAACGGAAATCAAAATAATACAAAAAAAAAATGATAATCATCCCACGGGAACATGATCCCGGGCGAGGCTAGTGCTATAAAGGCATTTCCTGTCTGATCAACTGACTTGATGACTGTATCGATTTTGATTGCATTTATGTATTTTTTATTATTAAAAAAACATCAATTAAAAACAGATTGAATAGTGTTGTTGTCAAAAAATAAACATCGGGTAAAGTAACATTTATTTCATTAATAAATAATTTTAATGTATATAATATTTATGTATATTATTCACAGTTAATTTTAACTATGAAATTTACTCAACATAGAACTAAGAAATAAGAATATATTGGTACTGTTTCAGAAGAGTCCAAACTATGCTATTCACACGCGAAGACTACACTCGTTTTAAAGAAACTTTAGCTAAATAACAGTATAGTTAAAGAAAAGAAAAACATAAGAATCATAGAGAAAACTTTAAAAATATTATTAAACACTCAAAAATAATAATATGCTATGTGATTATTTTTTTACAATTAAATCGTACCTAGATTCGATTCCCGTGAGCCATGTCTAATACCACATATACTTGTCTACACCTACTATTAGTATACATATACAGGGTGACTGGTGAATTACTATCAATATTTAAGGAGAATACTCGGTACATGATTCTCATTCGAATTATGTAAAAAAAATAGGCACTTAATTTTTGACAAAATTTCCGTATAAATAAATAAAGTGTTGACACGTTCCAAGTGTTCCAAGTGTAGACGCGTGCGGCGGCATGGTGTTGTATCAGCACGCCGCCGCACGCGTATGTGTGTGTGTGTCTGTATACCTAATCTGTAGGGTGTTCAAACGATGCGTAATTAATTACATAACTTTTGGTTAACTTTACTTAGAAGTTTATTAATATTTATGTTATATTAATTTTTATTTTGACATATATGATCGTCAAATATCACGTCCTCAAGTATCAATAGTAATTCACCAGTCACCCTGTATATGTATGTATGTATGTATGTTACTACCAAACCTAGTAACATATTACAATAGTGACGTCATCTGACTGTTAATGACTAACAATGCCTGGAATTTAGATTCCTTGTCTCTCCATATTAATATAACACACTACTAACAACCATTGTATGAGAACATATTACTTAAATAACAATAATTATTATAGAGAATTAAATAAAAGAGTTTCAGAGATCGGTATTGAAAAATAGAAGCACGTGTAGAAGACATACATACACATATGAAATCACAAGATACTCCATCTCATAAATCAAGAACATAATTTTGATATCTATTCATGGGGTCGTAGATTTATTAAGAAAAAACACAAAAACCTCCCTTTAACCGACATTGGAAGTTAATTGTAGTACAATCCCTACTAATATTATAAATGCGAAGGTAACTCTGTCTGTCTGTTACGCTTTCACGCCTAAACCACTGAACTCATTTTAATGAAATTTGGTACATATAGAGTTGACCTTGAGAAAGAACATAGGATAGTTTTTATCCCAGACTTTTGAAAGGTTCTCTTGGAAACGCGATATAACCGAACTCCACGCGGGCGAAGCTGCGGGCGGAAAGCTAGTAACATATAAGTTTATCTGATGTACAATCTATCGGTCCACAATGAACCCCATCGGTTGTCGATGGATATAATTGAGCCAGGATACTGTTACACGCCATTAACACCGAGTGTCTGGTTTAGGGTTACTGAGGCGAGGTGGAAAGGGGGGAGGGGGGGAGTACGAAATAACGCTATGGGAACTACTGTTAAGGTTGAACGAAGGTCATTACTATGAATTGGGAAGGACGGTATATATTATACTTCCAGTTTGTTTGAAGCCTAACTATGACTAAAGTATAGAAGAAATTAGGTTACATTTAGAGGAAATAGTTATTTCTAACTCAAATTATAGAGCCAGCAGCCTTAAAACAAGTTTTTAACGTCGAAGTTTTGAACCGATAGTCTGAACGTTCTCAATAAATCCCTACTAATATTATAAATGCGAAAGTAACTCTGTTTGTCTGTCTGTTTGATACGCTTTCACGACTAAACCACTGAACTGATTTTAATGAAATTTGGTACAGAGATGATGTTGACCTTGAGAAAGAACATAGGATAGTTTCTATTCCAAGTTTTTGAAAGGTTCTCTTGGAAACGCGATATAACCAAACTCCACGCGGGCGAAGCTACGGGCGGTAAGCTAGTAATAATCATTTTACATACCTTAAGAAAAATATCAACTACGATACTGTAGGTTTTATGTTGTTACAAAATAGTAATAGACTTACGAAATAGCAAAACATTCCGAGACTCTAAATATAGATGAGGAGCAAATAAATATATCTAATGATACTTTTGTACGTAATTAGCGTCCAATTTAGATGATCGTGGGTGTACGTCCACTACTACACTGGAGACGATTGTAGCACGAGCATACACAATTATTTACTAATACTTTTGTAAATATTTCTGTATTATGATAAATTTTCTCTCAAGTTATGTGTATAGTAAAGAAAAAATAATGACAAATAGGGGAGATAAAGTCTGCTTACACGACCATATTAAAAGGAGTTATAAAATTTCTTTATACAATTGATACACACGAATAAAACGTACATAATTATACAAGTATTATATCCAATGAAAGTGATTTCTTTCCTCTATCAATCGATAATGACGTCACTCAATTTAGACCCAAGCTGAACTTACCCCACTCTCTTGACTGGTGGCCCCTGGCTGTTGGATTCCATGTTCCTCATTGAACCTCCTCCTGGCTCTATGCCTCAATAAAGCTGACGCATCAGGCTGACCGAACTGAAATATCTGTTCGTCCTTCGAATTCAAGAACCTCTCATACTCGTATCCACTCTCTTTTCTACTGATGAAGTCCGTACTTATAAATTCTCTACCTCCATCTAGTATTTCCGAGGATATCCTCAACGAATCGGATGTCTGGCGTAAATTAACGTCCGAATCTCTGTAATTATCGCATATCTGGTTGAAGGTGCTGAAGTATTCCGAAGCCAGGTCATTCTTGTATCCCGTAGCGGGAGGCGGTTCAGGTAGGAAATCGTTGTCCATATTATTTTGCGGCACAGTATCGGTTCATTACTGTATAGACACTGTCATCATAACACCGACCACACGTACCGAACAATGGGTACGGTTAGCGAAATAACACAAAAAAAAAATACACTTAATCTGCACTTTGTTGACGGTATGCTCAAACACTATGGATTGAATGGAATTTTAAGTACGAGATGCACATTAATTATGATTTTAACACATATCTTCTTCTACCTGGCACTTTCTTAGATTTAGCCAGGGTCTGCCTTACATGTGAATAGTTTTGGCTAATTGTTTCTACGACCGGCCGCCTGCCTGACATCAACCCTCTTTGGGAATGTATTAATCAGTGATGTGTAAATAATCTTAGAAAGTACATATGACTCGGAAAAATCACATTGGTACTTGCCAGGGCCAGGATCGAACCCGCGCCCTCATGCATGAGAGGCGGGCCTTTTTTTTAACCACTAGGCCACCAATGACTTATATTTTTATATATAACACCTAAATAATTATTTAGTTAATTTATTAATCATTTTGAAAAAAATTATCTTAAAAGTCTTTAATATAGAAAATATTTCAGCTCAAACTTTCTTCTGATAATCTACTTCCAATGTAGATACTCGGAATTATCCAATATTAGTTACGCGGATTTGCATTATCCCCGACTATATGTCACCACAATTTAAATATAAATTGTCCTAAAATTCTTAAGTATTAACTAGTAATGTCAATTCGTCTTTGAGAAATAAAATTCAAACCTGCCAACCTTAAAAATATTTGCAGGTAGTCTGGTGACAATGGAATAAGAGACTCCTCATGATTTTTCATACACACTAAACCATCAATCATTTATTAGTATTAAAATCGTGAGAGTATTATAATGCGCGCTCTCCAAATGTTCATTTTTTGTAACACTACAGGGCTTCAATACTCCAAAAATTTTATTATAACAAAAAACATATATTTTACACCACCTTGAGTTAAAGTAGCGATGGTATATCAAAACCAAAGAAACGTGAACTTTAAGAATATATAAATATTAGACAAATAGAGACACATTTAAGTTGGTTAGTTACACTTTCAATTTAATATACACTTAATAACTTATCGATTATTGTAATAATTGTATTTTAAATATTATCTGCTAATAACTATTCTATAAAATGAAACCTCATAGCAACGTGATAAGAATTAATTTAAAACATAGATATCGATAATATTGAACAGCATCCCACCCCTACATTGGTGGTATGCCCCCTCCCCTGTAACCGTATACGGTAACCCGAGCGTTGTCCGTCAATGTTCCCGTATCCCGTGACGTCAGAGCCGTATCCGATGACACCGCCGGCGGTCGCTCTGATAATCATGTCATGCTACGACCTTACACAGCATAATGTTTATTATAACATACATGTATGTTTGTTTGTATTGTTACTCATTAGAACGAAAACTAATTAAGATTGAACAATGCTTCGTATGGAAGAAACGACTAAAACCGATATATCTTTTTTAAATGTAAAGTCATATATATGTATAATATTAATTTAATTAGATATGTGACATTCGATTCATTTGTAGATAAAACATTGATAATAAAAACAAAGAATTTTTGTTATCATTTATTTATAATCGTTATACATATATTTAATTAATTTCAATTAAAATAAAATATCATTTGTCATATACAACAATGTATTTAATGACTAAGATAGAGACTTATCAACAAAATGATATGATTTTTATACTTTGTATCAAATCATCAAATATCTTCTACCTGGCAATTTCCCAGCTTTAGCCAGGGTCTGCCTTACATGTTGTGAAAAGTTTTGGCTAATTGTTTTTACGACCGGCCGCCTGCCTGACATCAACCCTCTTTGGGAATGCATTAATCAATGATGTATAAATACTCGTAGAAAGTACATATGACTCGGAAAAATCACATTGGTACTTGCCAGGATCGAACCCGCGCTCTCATGCATGAGAGGCGGGTCTTTTAACCACTAGGTCACCACTAACGACCAAATCATCAAATCCTAAAAATTCCCAAAATTTAACATCGATCTACATTAACTGTTAAATACACGTGTCGGGTTGACTAACCTCAAAGTGCGACGATTTAATTATACATAAGTTCACAATCAATTAAATACATAACATATATACATATAGTATATGAGTTGCATCAGTGTTCACCTGCCACCAGATGGTTGTAACCGGTTCGATTCCCGTCTCTCTCGACTTTACGACGCATGTGACCTGCTTATATTTTTTACATGCCTACAAAAAAAATCATCGTGAATTCCTATGCGACAATATATTTTTGTGGGCTCATCTAATTTGTACGCTAGTTTACGCACGCGACTTCGTATGTTTATTTAAGTATTTGGTTAATATAAAGTAAAGAATATTCAGCGACATGACGTCATATTAACACAAAATTGAATGAAAACCGCGGTATAGCATATGTCTTACAAATCTTAGCTATAGTACTTGTAATTTCATCAAGTTCTTACAACAGTTTTACAGGGTAGCTTACAAACTTTCTCATTTATTTATAAAACTGTACAGTTTTCTAAAATCAAAACAATTATGATAAATATCTCCGCCGGCCGGAGGTTATGTAGGTGACATTTTTTCATATGACGCAACCAATAGCAGGTCTAGATAACACCTGCCCCAACACCTGCATCTCTCCAGCGGTTACATTCGTTGGACACGTGTCTTTCGGCTTAGGTCAAGGTTATAAACACTAGCTGACCCCACAAATAATGTTTACCCATATAAAAAGTAGGGGTTAGTGATAAAATAGTAAAAATTTAGGGGTCAACAACCTTTACGACTTAGGGGTATTAAAAATATATGTTGCCCTATTCTCAGACCTACTCAATATGCTTACAAAATTTCATGAGAATCGGTCAAGCCGTTTCGGAGGAGTACGGGCACGAACATTGTAACACAAGAATTTTATATAGAAGATACATATGATGTATTAATTATTAACCTATTTCACGTCACAACCACAAGCCTCGGTGGCGCAGTAGGCAGCGCGTAAGTCTCATAATCTTAAGGTCGTGAGTTCGATCCTCACCCGGGGCATATCTTTTTTTTTGCTTTTTTTCTTTCTTATTTTATTTTTTTTGATAACCCACCTAGCATTAGACTGATATAACACAACTATGACGCACTATTAGTCTGTAGATGTCTGATTACTATAGTTGAGGAGATATGCGATAACACATACATACATACATACATACAAAAATTATATAAATACATGCACGTGTTATATCAAAACATAATTGTGATATTATGAATCACAATCTCTTCGCGAAAAACAATATATTAATCTTTAAAAGAATGTACAGAGGTCAATCGTGATATTTTTATACAGGTTTGAAAAACAAAAAGTGGGAACATATTAAAAAACATATTTCTTATTATCAAAAACTCGAAAGATTTTATACATATATACTAGTTATGACCCGCGACTCTGACCGTAAGTAGTGTGTTAAAACAATACATATAGTAATCTATGTGGCAGTCTTTTCATTTTAAATAACCTACATACACTACAGCGACATCTATCGGACTTAGTTGTGAATCTAAATGATCTGGGGCGAAACACTAATGTATAGGAAAAACTTCATTGAAATCGGTCCAGCCGTTTAGGAATTCAGTGACATACAAACGTACGGTAGAATTTTATATATGTATATGTTTTATGAATATAATTAAGATTTTTTACATATATGTATTATTAAAATAATTATAATACTAAATATTACTTAGTTTATTAGTAAAATAAATATTAAAAGCTATATTTTATATCTGAAAAATTTATGAAACAGTACATATAATACATATAAGTTACAAAAAAATATATAATTATGCTTGACTTCACATATAACGACAATTGAATTCATTAAACTGCATCGGAAATGACACAGCCGTTCTTACTCATGTCTAGTAACAAGATTGAAAATAATGAACGTGGTTTATATGTGTGAATAACTCAGTAATACATATAATATTATTTTTGGTTTTGGTAAGGAGAAATTTTTGGATTGAAATTTAATGACATATATCCCTACTAATATTATAAACGCGAAAGTAATTCTATCTGTCTGTCTGTCTGTTACGCTTTCACGCCTAAACCACTGAACTGATTTTAATGAAATTTGGTACAGAGATAGAGTTAACCTCGAGAAAGAACATAGAATAGTTTTTATCCCAGACCTTTGAAAGGTTCTCTTGGAAACGCGATATAACCGAACTCCACGCGGGCGAAGCTGCGGTCGGAAAGCTAGTATATATATACAATAATTAATATATATATATTAAGACTAGTATAGTACACTATTATGATATTAACAGACGTCGCCGGGAGCCGAGTGTAGTGTAGTGTTTAGTTTGTTTATTTGTAAGTTTCGTTCTTAGTTCTCTAGACAGTCGGCCGCCGTCGTAGTGTATACATATATGTGTGTATGTGTGTTCCCGTATAATACGCACCCGAGAGGTTATCTGAGTTACATCGTATGTGCTATCATATATAATTATTATAATATATATATACATATTATATATCAATATGTACATACGAGTATGTAGTTACACATGACGCTTGACGGAATGTCTTTATCGATTTAAATGAGATTTTTGCATACAAATAGATGAAGAGCCGGATAGCATCTAGATTCTAGTCTAAGTGTACGATAAATGAAACAGGAATTTCAAAGTTAATTTAATGAAAATACATGTATGTATGCATGTATGCCTGTGTGTGTACGTAAGTACGTATGTATGTATGTATGTATGTATGTATATACATATGAATGTATGTATGTATGTATGTGTATGTATATATGTATGTCTCTCTGTGTGTATATATGTATGTGTGTATGTGTGTCTGTGTGTGTGTGTGTGTGTGTGTGTAGGTAGTATGTGTATATGAATGAATGTATGTATGTACGTGTGAGTGAGTATGTCTCCCTGTGTGTATGTATGTGTGTATG